CGGTCTGCAGCTTCCTCTATACGGCTAGCTGGCCAAACACCGGATGCGCCTCGCCGATTCGGCCTTGCTGGCATGAATCGTGCTGGGGTCGATGCAGGGCGGAACGGTAATCGCGCCGCTCGGCCGTCGATGAATGTCGGCGGGTCTGGGAATGAGTTCGAATCCATAGAGTATTGTTTTTGTTCGATTTTTTGAGTAATAGATGGTATCTGTGTACCTATGCGATAAGTCGCGAACAAACAGTAGTTTTTTGAACGCGGTGAGTGTTTAAAAAAGTGTAGAATCTCCGTAGTCAGTACAGTTAGCTTGTATCACACACACACCAATAAACGGAACCTCGTCTTATTGCGAGAGATACAAGATAGGTAATTGAGCTAAGCAGATTCAGAGGTAGTTGTTTTCTAACGATCCGCCTGCCCAATCCGTCCATCTATCACTCAGAAACCAAACACGTCCAAACTCGGCGCCACTCGGTGGCGCCCACCTTACATACACCCTTGGCTACTACATCGTACAGCGTCTCTTTACCGCTAGGTTCGCACAATTCATCCCTCGCTCACTCCAGCCGTGCAACGAGTGCCACAGCAGCGTTAAGAGGGCTATATTTCGGGAACATCTCATTAAATTTAGAACCGTCTCCCATCCTAGGATTGCTTGGGAGGATGGTCGCAGTAAACAGACCAAGAGCGAAGGAAAGATGTCCGATGGCCCGCTGACCACAGTCGGTGTACGTGCACGTACGTCCGCAGCTCGTACGCAGCTCCCCTAATTTACCTCATGTTAGCCTTATCTGATCCCGGCACCGCCGCGCACGGTGCACAAGCAATTCAGTCATGGTACGTCCAAGTATCACAAATATGGAACGGAGGACACGTATTGCCCCAGTGCTCTGGAGAGCGACGTCTGTTGGAAGTCGGGGCGGCGAGAGAAGGTCTGAACGTCCCCATGAGGAGCTCCCCTAAGTCCTCCCACAGTCCCGGCCCACGCGCAACAGGAAGTGAATGTTGTATGATCGTGAAGGTTGGGCGTTAATAGAGGCTCCCAAAACAAGAGAGCCACTTACTTCCTGTCAAGTCTTGCTCGACGCAGAGGCATGTAGCTGAAGTACCGTGGAACAGTACCTTTGCGTGGTCTCACTCGCGATTAGTCCTGCGATATGTACTATCATTGGACCAGTAGTGAATAACTATTCACTTCCCGTCCCTTTTGTGCACTGGGGACCTTGTGGCTACCCTATACCTTCGGCAATTTTTCTCTGTAATGATAAATGTCTGTAGATGCCATGTTCAAGTTTGTATGTGGAACGGAGGAGTGGTCATCGTTCAGGATTTAAAACTGTCTTGCATCTCCGAGGTCTAAGTGTGACAGAGCGTGACCGCTGCCCCGCCACAGCCCTATTGTGACACGTGTGACATCTTATTCACTTCCCGTCCCCTTACGCCGTACAACCTCTACGCCCTCTGGAAAAATCTGAGAAATTTGCAGAGGGTATAGAATAGTATCTGAACCATTCACACCAATTTTGGGGTACGTGCAATCAGAGGAAGATGACTTAACTAGGGAACAGTTCAAATCATTCACTACTGGTCCAATGATAGTACAGTCGACTCTGTCTTAACCCATAACGGGTCGTGGAACCCAAAAGTTATGGGTTTCTGCAGACTATGGGTTACCAGAATGTGTGACATTGTGTGACTACCTGGTAAGCGTGACAGACAGCCTATGCGGTATAGGCCGGACGTCGTTTATGACAACGTTTAGATACGGAATCTTGAGTCTGGTATGGGTTATCTTCTGAAATACCACGAGAACCAAAAATTAAGGGTCCAGATGGTTCAGATTCTCGTGGGAAGGAGACCTGTACCTTCCTAATATAGGTTGTTTTATGGGTTATGACCCTCCAAAAAGCTATGGGTTATGGGATACGGCAGACTTATGGGTTTTTACTATCTACCATGTTGGTGGAAGCCAAAAACCTATGGGTTATTACAGGTTATGGGTTATCACAGGTATGGGTTAAGACAGAGTCGACTGTACATGTAACTTGCCTTCAACTGGCGATCACAAGTGTGGCGGTGTCGGTTATTTACCCCTATTTGTGCCACAGCCTCAGCCTGCAATTCACAAAGGATCCGGATATCATGATCGTCAAGTAATTTACCAGCCTTGTCACTGTCAGCTTGGTTCCCCACCTAGTCACTCATAGCTGATAGCCTGTGCTCCAATTACTCATGGAAATGCTTGTGATCCGTAAGTGCTGCTGCTGATGTCTTCGCTTTCTTTATGCATCGGAATCTGAAAGTACTGGTGATTCAAAGTAAGTCGCTGTATCATAAGAATATGTCTATGATCCTACAGCCTCCAATATCCACGAGTCTTAGGTCACCGCGTATCACCACTACGACCAAGTCAATCTGGCGTTCGTTGATATCGGAATCAGGTGCCATCCAAGTCTATATATGCATCGACCTAACCCACGGGATAGTATAGCTCTCTAGATCCTACGCACTATTTTCCGTCCCTTACCGCCCTGGACGTTGAAGCTAATAGCTCAAGATCAGAGCGCTATCGATGGTTCCACGCTCAGGCCATCCCACCGCTCTTCTATCGTTTCTATCGCATTCACAGGTATTCAAGAAGGTTCGCTACGGTCCTTTGCCCGCGCCATATATACGACGACAATCTCATGCTCATTCCTGTATCTAGCCGCTCGTCGCTTTCTCACACCAGCTCGAAGGTATCAGTTTAATTTCCACTAGGCTATGTGTCCTGAGATCGACAAGCTAGGTGCGCATATGACTTATTGCGCCCGTGCCTGTGGTGCCCAACAGCCTTGTACCCTATGCCGACGTCTACCCAGTCTTTGTCTCCGGGACGAGTGGCTCATGATCGTCGCCGCTGCTTGCGACATTGTGCCGTGAGTGCCTCCACTCAAGACCTGGAAGCTTCTCAACGCAGAACTCTCCGCTTCCCCAGCCCCAGGAGGATGCTTGAAGCGCCGTAGACACGCCAAGCCATGAGACGCATTCTGTTTAGTGGACGGAGTGCGCCGCAGTGCTTGACTTGTACTCTATTGGTACTCGCTCCCCCAGAGTATTCCCTCTAGTATGAATAAATTGAAGCATCGAATATCCTACGGATATAGTCCGATATCATATACACGTTCTCCGAAGAGAAGACACTTAATAGGCTCCCCTGTTGGGGCTTCCTCTCCGACTATGAACGATATCGGGACATCCGAAGTCATTTTCTGCGAGCATCGCAGACAGTGGAGGTCCGTCACATTATTCAGATGTCCAGGAATTGTCTAGCGTGGCCGCCTTATTGCCTGTGGAATTGCGCCCCCCAGCCGCCGACGCTGTCCTTCCGACATGGTCGGCATTTACGCAACCTCTCCGTCCTCCGAGTCGCTCACCCGTTGCTACGCTCATTGGTGTGTTTGTTTCACATCTACGATCTTGTTTCTGCTGCTGCGTCAATCTCCCCAATACTCACTGACTGACGATAGGCTGCGCTGAGTGGATTCTCCTATTGGCTCTCCAGTACTATCAACACATTACCGCCGGGTTCTCTTCAAGATCTGAAATCAAATCGGCCGGAATCCCCGAGATTGGGAAGCACTTACGTATCCATGTGCCAGTAAACCGAACTGCACCTGAGCGATTCTGACTTCCTTGCATCACTCGGCGACCTCTCCATCGATTGACAACCCCATCATCAAGAGGGCGTTGAATAAATCTCAAAGGGTCCGACGAGCTGACAAGATCCATTGCATCCCAACGGTGGGAAGACGGGCCCGAGTCTCTGGTGCCGAAACGCTATCGCCCCCGCTGCGGCTTGTCTAAGTTTGCCGGATTACCTTGCACGGAGTCAGGTGTCAGGACACAGACCTGGCCGACGTTATCCTTTCAGTGGAAGAATCGTGAGGTGAGTTACGTCTATTTACAGGATCGTCTCTGCTGACAGGAGCCCACGCGCAACGCGGGACGAGGGGTTCATGTGTACTACATTGTGTAGCAACTGCCAGAATAGGGCAAGGCGGTTAGGTTCACCGCGGTAATTGGGACCCTTCGCCCCACTACGACAGGCTAGCGTCTGCCCCGCGGGTCCACGTGTAAGAACAAGGCGCCAATAATAACATCTATTCGCGGCGTGTGGAAGTCTCGGCCTGCATGGGTGTATTACGATTGCAGCAACACGAAAATGACAGAGTCTGTCTTCGATAGGCAACCGTGCTAGGACTGTCTTAGGACAGAAATATATAACGGCCGAGAAGACAGCGCTTTGCGAGATCTTCCCAGTTGTCTCGCCGTCCGTCTGACTGACTCGACAATGCCACCGACGCTGTCCCCCTCGCACGCACACCACTACGCCACTCAATATATTCCGCGCACTCCCCATGACGAGACTTACCAAATCCCAGCCAGCCTCAGCTTCTTGAATGGATCGTCCCAGCTGGCGGATCACGAGTTCGTCTTGTCAGCCCCGCCAGTGCCGTCCAACTTTGATTCCGCAGGAGCGTACCTTGCCAATCAGGCCAGCTCCTATGCTTATTCGGACAGCGAGACAACAGCTTGGAACGATCCACGTTCCGCGGGCGTCGGCACTAGCGATAGAATTTTCTCCTGGAATACCCAGATCCAGTCGAATCTGCATAAAGCCTCTGTGACTTCACCTCCGTCTTCATCAGAAATCCCTCTTTTCAGCGCGATGGCAATCCCACTCAGAAGTCGCCCTAGGTCACCCTCCGTCCCGAGCGTCCCCGCTGCACTGCCCAGACGACCGCTGCCTCTCCCTCCAGCAGCATTTGTGGCGCCAGCAGGGTCGACGTCGACCGCTGTGCACGACACGAGGTATACTGGAGGAATTCCGCAACAGGATTCCCCAGCGCAGACTGCTCTCCCGCGCCCAGAGGCTAGGCAGACTGAATCCGCCTGCAGTCATAACTCAGGCTCAAGCGGCAAAGTGAAGGAGAAAAAGCACGGCTGCTGGATGTGCCACAAGACCTTTGACAGGCCCAGCACTCTTCGCAAGGTGAGATCGAGCCTCCGGTGTTTAGGAAACGCGTGCTCACCTGCGTCTCAGCACCTCCTGGTCCACACGGGCGAGAAAGGTACGCAGTCGCTTTCCAATACACTTGCTTCCGGCGGCTCACGAGCGGCGGTGCAGCACACGCCTGCAACATCTGTGGTCGTCGCTTCGGCGTGTTATCCAACCTCAACCGGCACGTCCGCCGCTGCGCCCAGAAGCCAGTGAATAAGGGATCCTCCTCGGGTTCCGCGTCTGATCCACACTCGCCCGCCGCTGACATCACTGCGGACAGCGCCTCGGGCACGACTGCGCCAGCGCAATCGGTGCCACCGAGTGTTTCAGCACCACGGCATCGTATATATACCTCCGCGGAGCGGTCCACGGCTTCTGCAGAGACTACCCCACAACCTACCTCTCGCAAGAGAGATTCCAGTAGAAGCACCAGCCAAGTCGACCCATTGTCCATGGCCATCGAGAGCCGAACCAAGAGGCGCAGACGCGCTCCGTCGCCCTCCCGCTGGATACCTCCCTCTCTCAGCAATTTCAACCTCAGTCATTATCCGAAGTCGTTGCCGGTGCCGTTGCCGCCTGTGGCCGAGGGATTCTACAATGGTGTCTGGGAGGAGAGGAATTCGTACGACGAGAACACCGATGCAGCGCCCTACCATCCGAAGGGATGGTCCGGCAAGTTGCCCGGTCCCGGCTTGGTTGGGAAGGACGTCTCCAATACTAGTGCCCTGGGTAAGGTCTTGGTATTCTGACAAGGTAAGTTGTGCGCAGATATTCCTGTTATTGGCTTCTCACCTCTGCAATCTTTAGATATGCATGCTATCGACCCGACTGCGCACTCACTATGATTGATAATTTTGTAATACTCTTCGATATGTAGCATATTTACGCACGAGTTGTATCGCTATTGTTGGTATATCTTGCCCTTGTGAGAGCGACCACAGACGAGATGTCGACTATATATCTTATCTTTTCGAGTGGAGTTAATCTGTTGAATTCATTATCAGCGATATTAAGACTGGCTTTGCATCCAGAACCTTAAGACGTCCGGCGTGCATATAAACGACAGTGGCCACCGGTGATGCCGGCGGTCACAATTTGAATCATCATAGTCTTATCAGGAGAACGCAGAGACTGCTCGATTGCAGACCGGAGACAGCCTATTACGAGCTTCAACTGTTGGGGTACCATACGGTCTGTTGTCAGGTGGGAGGCCGGAGTGTCGGCTCGGAGGATGTACCGGAGCATAGTGAAGAGGACATCAGCGAGCAATCGTGACCCGGCGACGATCCTCCTGTGGAACAGATAGTACCGTGGTCGCGCCTGACAGTGTGTCCTAACCTGGCCAGAGCTACGCTATTAGGTTCAGCTCCTGCGTTGGCTAAAGTGCACAAGACCCACGAGATCGGAGAGCTACGGACAGCCGATCTATCAAACGCATACATAGTTCAGCGATCGCTCAAAATGTGTGGCATCTTACATGGCCGCATGTTGCATTCACGTGTTGCTTATTCAGTTGTAAATACCGGATCGTTGACACTGGCGATACGCCGGGTAGGATCTAGTAAATTATCTATGATGAACTGTCCATCTGGTGTAGCAGTAGTGTCAGCGTTATCTGTCGTGTTCTGATGAAGAGAGCGGGTACAACGAACTCGGCATATCATTATTGTTTGCTCTCCAGATTGCCTCGTCCTTATCCTTCGCGACACCACTGACAACGTGCCGTTTCACCAATCTCCTTGTCGCCTCCTCCACGCTGATATCCACAAACCAGCGTTCGTCCAAGAATTCTCCGGCGCGTCGCCAGGGCTCAATGGAGAGGAATGTATACAACCCTTCGATGACTACAATGCGATGGTGTGGATGTATTGACACTGCGTGAGGGGTAGGGTCCTTCAGAGCATGATCGAAGGAGGGCGCAGTAACCACAGATGATAGAGAAAGGGGTAGTCGCAAGGACTTGACGAACTCGACATAAGCATCGCCGTCGAAAGTCCAGTGAGCACCTCGTCTGTCGTGAGCTAGCTTAGGGTCCGGGAAAGCATCCAGCTGCGCTCGGGTAAGGTGCCAACCGTCCAGACCGACGAGGACGGCCGTCACATCCCCTTCGCCCCCCTTTCCGTGTAGGATCTCGTTGACATTGTCCACGACGAGTTCAGCGAGTGTCGATTTGCCCGAGGCTGGTATGCCTGAGATCCCGACGAGAAGACGCGACGAAGCAGGAACGCTAGAACGTAGACAGGGTCATCACAGCCCGGGCGATTCAGGTGCATACACCCTTACGTCTGCAGGCGCTGGACGAGGAACTGGGCTAGCTCAGTCGCGATTGCATCCATCGTTGACTGGGACGATCAGAGCGCAGCGCGTAACAGTGGCAGTACTAACATGACATCAGGAACAGCAGTGGACTTACTGCCGGCACGAGCGCTTGTTCTATGATTGAGTACGATGTCAAACATACGCACAGCAAGCACTGCGGCGTGCTGTCTCTCGACTCTTGCTTCGAACCGTTGACAGCGAAGAACGTGTTACAGCCTGAAGAGGTTCCTTGTAATCCTCGTCGTTGCCCGGCTCACCATGGCTAGTGAGGATGGAGGGAAGCGGCTCAGGAGGTGAGTATCTTTCCTCGCCGTGCGGCGATCGGCTCATGGAACCCTATCAGAGCCGACCCTTCGACTATACAGGATAAGTTTATGGTAGGGTACCAGGGCTGGTGAGTGTTTCCTGTCACCCGTAACCAGACTCCAGCTGAGTCTTGCCAAGGTTCACTTGCCCCGGAGACGGTGAACCGGTCGGCCCAGGTAAGACCATAAGACGCCCTCAGGGTCAAGCTCACAGCTAGGTACAGGACACCATGGTTGGCTGCATTGGTTCAACTACCCCATTCCTGACGGTGGCCGGCCCAACACCGATTTATGGCCAGATGTTTCAGAGTACTCGCCCTCGGAGCTCTACCCAGCACCAGGTCTGAAGTACGCGAATGGGGACCAAGCATTCTTGTTCTCCTCCCGCAACCCCAAGACAGTAAACAGGTACGGTAATCCTGACGTCGACTGTCGAAATGGATCAGGGTTCAGCTTGTTACAGGCATTTCCACTGGATGGCCCGCCATGGCGTGGATGGCGCTTTCCTGCAACGTTTCCTCGGCCAATGTGACGTCGAAAATGGTAATGAAGGCATCAGGCGCCAGCGCGATGAAGTCGGTGATCGGGTCAAGGAAGCTGCTGAGAAGGAAGGCAGAGTGTTCGCGATAATGTACCCATCTAACGACTTACATCATTGGGAAGACGCCTGATTGGTATGCAGGTATGATGTCTCGGGCGTGCCTACCGATAGGATAGAGCGAGTCATTAAGCAAGACTGGCTGCACCTGATCCGGGACAAGGGCATCCTGGACAGTCCCAACTATCTGCGAGAGAAGGGAAAGCCGGTAATTGCGCTATGGGGCACGTATGAATCCTATAATATCGCGTAAATCCAGTGACTGACAGATGCTCATTCGGACAACAGGTTTCGGCTTCTCGGATAGAAACCATTCACCCGCTATGGTCCGTGCGGTGACATCGTATATACGTTCTGTTACGCCAGGAGGTGCATACATATTCGGCGGTGTCCCTGCTCACTGGCGGACGTCTGTCGCGGATGCTGATCCGAACCCCGAGTTTCTGAACATCTGGCTGGAGGAGTTCGATGCCCTGTCACCTTGGACTATCGGTAGGTATGGGAATGAGGACGACGCGGATAGATTCGCAGAAGAGAAGATCAAGGGTGATGTTGAACTACTGAAGAAACGAGTTGATGAAGGACATAAGAAAGTGGACTACGTCCCGGTGGTATTACCTGGTGGATCGGTCGGTATATCAGTATGTCCCAGTCGCGTGGTACTGACAATAATCGCATTTAATAGGGATATAATCTATCCGAAGGTAAATGGGGGTTCAACGACATCAAGCGGAATGGCGGTCGTTTTCTGTGGAGACAACTATGGAATGCGCGGCGTCTGGGAGTCCGTACCATCTACGGTGCTATGTGGGATGAGTGAGTTGTCCCCTTGTCCTCCTGCGGATTTTCTATGTAACATAATAATCGAAGATACGACGAAGGAACAGCTTACATGCCCGTAGTACCTTACAAGAGGCAATCACCCGTGTCAGACAAGTTCCGATTCATGGCCTTAGATGAGGACGGCTATGACTTGCCTTCGGATTGGTAAGTGAAGTTGACATCAACAACTGTTCATCCCATCTCACCTTGATTGAAGGTATATGCGCATATGTGGGTTCGCAGCAGAAGGGTTGCGTGGTGAACGTATCATTCTCGAGACATTCCCATCGAAGGAATTGCAAGATTACTGGTCGACACGCCCAATATATGAAGACGAGGGGCATGAGCCGAGTGCTTCTGGCTCAGGATCAGGCGGAGGAAGTGCAGACGATTACCAGAGATGGTTAGCTAGCCACGCAAGTAAGGCGGAAGACGAGCCTCCTCCCCCGCCGTACTCCCTCGAGGGCGACAGTAGTGCACCGGCGGCGGGTAGCGTTGCGGCCCAGGTATCTCGGCCACCTCCAGCGCCTATGTCGACTAGACCCCTGTTCATTCACAGGCACGATGATACCACAGCATCGGCGCATTCCTCAGCACCACCACCTCCAGCGCCTGCCTCCACTCGACCTCTGTCTATTCACAGCCACCACGACAGTACGGGAGCGGCGCATTCCTCAGCGCCGCCCCCACCACCGCCGAAAGATACGCGTCCTTCTTCGAGCCCAAACAAACCCCTGGTGGATCTGGGAAAGCGACCGTCCTCGGCATCCGTATCCCAGATTACCGAGGACTTGGGTCGACAGTCTATATCGCATAATATGCCGAGTTCATCACGTCCCCCAGTCCCTTCCTCGACGAGACCAGTATCTCCCCCGTCCGGACCGTCCATCTCATTACCTGTACCGGACCTGAAAGGAAGCCCTGGGCGGGAAACGTACGAGCCCGGCGGGTTCGCTCCGGCCCTTGCGTCCCAGCCCCAATGGCCCCCGCCTGAGTGGAACGTTCCCCCGTCACCTCACTCGCCGTCCCATTATCCCGGGTTTCCGCCCTCTTCCCATGCGAACGTCGGTCCCCCGCCTCTGCGCCCTCGGCCGTCCCTTTCTCAGCGCCCGCCACCTGGCGCATATCCTGCAGCTGCTGACGAGCCTGGGTTCCGCCCCATGGACACTTCGTACTATGATCCCTCGGGCGTTTCGCCGTTGTTCCCTCAAGCCCATCCTTCGAATGATTATTACTCCAGTGGCGGAGCGCAGGGTCAAGGCCAATGGCCGTACCAGGCATACGAACCGCCTGCTCATAGACCTGGGTCGCGCCCTTCTGCGCAGGCTGTAGATCCTACCTGCCCTGCATCAGGTTTCGGCTACAGCGGAAGGCCGTCGCCTCCGGCCCATCCTTCTTCGCCGCGTAAGTAATTTGGGACTGGTAGGATAGTAATCTAATGGAGGTCCTCAATAGAGCCTTATAGGCAGTCAACCCCGCCGGCTCCCCATGGCGCTTATGCTCCTCCAGCTCCTCACGGTTCGCTTGCTCCCCCATCTCCTCATGCTTCTCACGGCAGGCCGAGTGCACCTCTTCTCTCCGCGGCACCTCTTAGGCTTGCGATGAACGCCGTTGATAGACTTGCTGGGCCGGGGACGAGTCGACAGATAGAGAGACGAGTAGGTAGCATAGCGGAGAGTAAGTCACAAACTAAGATCTCGTTACTCAGCCGCTGATAATTGTGGCCATAGGAGGTAACAAGATCTTCGACAAGTTTACAAAGTAGACCGAGGGGCGATCTCGTCGATTCCCAATCTCATTGACCCAACTATCTTGTTTTGTATCTTGTATATTGACCCCAAGGACTTCTACTCACTTTTGTATGTTGTTGGACTATGACAGAGAAGCTTTTCTGTAGTTGGGTGAAGTAATCTTGTCGCTGCCTACAAATTCAATGCTTTGTGGCCTCGGGAGTCGTGCTTTGTGGCAATCTTCCCACGCTGCTAAAACGAAAAAGAACCGGAAGCTGTCAGTTAGCAAACTTTCTTCCGCCCGAGTTCATCGACATCCTGCCTCTCTGGGCGTGTCATGACTAGAGGTCTGCGGCTTGGCTTGTGCACCCAAGCGATTTTCCAACGTCTCAGAATCACTTATCAAATATCTCCATTCCATATGTTTGCCTTTTCTGCTCGATATATCCGTTTTCTGCTGGTTGCCGTGGTCGCAGTATCCTTGTTCTCTCTGATCTGGCTGGTTCCCCACATGTGGACTTTCGCATCTGTAATGCTGAAGCTTGGCTCTGCACCTGGGTGGAAAGGATACGGAGGAGCGAATAGGGCGACAATGCTGGCTGGCCAGACTTTGGCTGATTCATCTGGCATCTATGTTATCTCTCTTCCGCGACGTTACGACAGAAAACGGGATATGGAGCGTTTGCGAAGAGCACTCAATCTTAAATGGAGTTATGTGGATGCGCTCGACGCGGATGATAGTGCAATCTCCAGGATAATTGAACGAGTCAGGCTGGAACGCTCGAAGAGTAGGAGTTACGTTGAGGACTCAACCGAGGTCAAGGCGCCCAGCTTAGAATACTTCCACTGGCCAGAAGATATGGATCTGAATACTCTGTCCCGCGCCACGATAAACCCTTCTGGAGCGGATGGCTGGGGTTCTGAACACGCTCTCCCCTCTCAATGGCCTGGGACTGGACCTGCTCCTCTTCTCGTTGATCCTTTGATGTGTGCCACTGAAAACAATACGATTCCTCCATATACACCATCAGCGCCTCCCTACAAGCTCCTCACCCCCGCCAAGGTTGCTTGCTGGCATTCACACCTGTCGGTTATCCGGAATATCGCTAACAAGCCTGGCAATTCGACCACTCTTGATGAAGTGTATATAATACTCGAAGACGACGTGGACATGGAATACGATATCAAAGAACGCCTCTGGGATATGTGGCCTGCTCTGCCTCCACATTGGGATATGCTTTTCCTAGGTGAATATATGCCTTTATTCTACTATCCAAATTCGTAGATAATTTAATGGACTGCGATAATCTCCCCTGCACTCCTGACATAGGGCACTGTTGGTCCAACGAGTCGCTGCACCCAGCCCTACCTTTACCCCCTTATTCGGCGTTTTCTCCTCTCCACCCATCTAACGCGCCGAAGTGCACGCACGCTTACGCTGTGACGAAGGCAGGCGCGGCGCGTCTTCTCCTCCATCTACGATACCCGCCCTTCGCATACTCCCGGGCGATCGACCAGGCATACGCGTGGCTGATACAGAGCGGTAGATTGAGGGCGTTCTCGGTCGTTCCGAGTATAGTCATCCAGAGGAAGGTGGGGCAGAGTGATGTGTGGGACGAGGAGCATGGTGGTACTGGTAGTGAATGGAGGGATACGCTCGTCCATGGTGTGCTTGGTACTTCATGACTTTGTTGGCGTCGCCACGATGATGTCCTGGGATTCTACATGTGTTAGCGCTGGTCGAGCCGAATTTGTTGGATAGTATTTGATCTTGCTGTCGGTTTTTGCAGTTGCAAAGCATATCTATCTCTGGAGAGGCGCCTTGCTTGAATGCGGCACTTCCCAAGCCCAAAAACGAGGAGCAAGTGGACGTCTACAATTCAGCGACTATGATACTCCAAAGTTACCATTTGTCGGATTAAGACGGCAACCATGCCTGGCAATGCAGCCAGGGCTCATGATGCGCTTGCGGAGTGAACCCCGTGTCAGGTCTTTATTTTCTTGTCGGTATAGGCAAACCCTCGCAACTAGTTTTAGTTATCATATGCAATGTACAAGAAAACGATGACAGTGAGAGCGACGACTTGACATCCAGAATGCCCTTAGATGCCCTGCCCGCCGGTAACCTCAAGCGTATGCCCGCTAACATAAGACGCCAGTGGCGATGCAAGGCTACATAAGTCATAGTCAGTGGAACTGTCTAATCAACAATTGATAGTGATACACGTACAAAAGAACCGCGGCAGCAGCTTCATCAGGCTCTCCGGGGCGGTTCAGCGGGATGTTCGGGTAGTTGGCGTCGGGCGCAGGCTCCTTCATTCCCGGGATACCCAAAGCAACCTTCTTTCCTTCAATCTCGATCGCGGCGCCCTGCTCTTTCGCCTGAGTCAACCTAGATAACCAAGTTGTGAGCCTCTCTTTCCGATTCGTCTTGAGGCGCTTATAAGTTTGGATAATTACCTCGTTTTGATGTACCCGAATGCAACGGTGTTAGCGCGGACGCCGAACCCGCCCCACTCCTTCGCGATCGTCTTCGTGAGGCCGGTGACGGCGGCCTTAGCGGAGGAGTAGTTCGCTTGACCGACGTTGCCGTGCAGGCCCGCGATGGAGGAGACGTTGATAATCGAGCGATTCTCGCGATTCTTCTGGTCCTACAGGCCAAAAGGAAGGTGATCGGTGGATGACGGTAGGTTGCGGTGAGTTAGGTAGGTACACACCTTCACTCGCATGTAGGGAGCGGCCTCGCGGATGAGGCGGAAGGGCGCGCGGACGTGGATCTTCATGATGATGTCCCAGGCATCGTCGGGAGTAGTATGTAACATGCGGTCGAAGGTGAAGCCAGCTGTGATAATGAGGCGATTTAGACGTAAATCGCGTATTATATTTATGGTATGAGTTATTCACCGTTGTTGACAATGTGGTTTACCTTGCCATACTTTCTGCATAGTTACGTTCTTCAGTTCATGGGTCATGTACTCGGACTCGAAAAGCGCACTTGATTGTGGCATCAAGAATCTTCTTGGGAAAGTCATCCGCTCCGACATCACCGCCGACTGCGAGGGCGTCCCCTCCAGCCTTCTTGATCTCGTCAACCACTAGCTGTGCTTTCTTCTCATCGAGACTGCGACAACTCAGTCAGATCGTGCCACAAAGTTATACACTCTACGCACTCTGAGACGACGACTTTCGCGCCCTCCTTGGCGAAGAGGAGGGCTACACTCCGGCCAATGCCCTAATATCCCCAGCTGGTCAGTCAGGCTCCGGCCGCTCCATAAAGCCTTCGACGACTATACCTGCGCGGCACCTGAACACAAACACAGTCAAAACCTATACATCTCTACAATGCACGGAGGCGAATGTAATGCGGGGTTCTGGTGTACGTACCGGTAACAATCGCCACCTCGCCCGCGAGCAGCCCCCTCCCATACGAGTTCGTCAAGTGCCCCGAGACCTGGCTAAGTCGTGCGCTCATGTTAGTCGATTGTCACCGTCGAAAGCGGAGGCTACAGCTGCAATTATAGCGGTCGAAGGCAATGCGCGCCTGACCCTTCCCCGCATCATCGTCCTCAAACGCCGGAATGTGCTTTCCTTCACATAGCCTGAATACATGATCCGGCTATACAGTTGCCGGTTCGACGCGGGTTCGCGGTTCGGCGCCGCGGGTCGTGTTTCGGTTCCGCTGCGCGCCGCCAAGTGTCTCGTCGGGGCGATGTCTATTCGGACAGGCACGCCAACGGAACTATTCATCAGTTTATTCATCACACTGATTCACAGAAGGGGACTGGTACAGATGGAAGTGTTGCCCTCTGTCTTCCTTTCCTCAAGTGTACCTGGCCGGGCATTGGTTATTTGACTTCGCAGATCCTTCTTACGACCACCGTGTCTTTTGCAGTGGAGTCTTCCCATGAAGAGAGCATGTTATTTTCTGGCGATATTGACGGCGATTAACAAGCTTTCTGCTCTCCGCTGAGCTTGCCACGGTTAGGTATATTCGACTTCCGGCGTGTCTCCAGATACAGGAATACCGCTGAATATTCTTTCTTGACGAACGTTCGCAACTGAACCTTGGAGAAGCCAACGATACTCACCTCTAGTCCAGGTTTAGCTGTAACCCACGCACAATGGTTCAGTGAGTTCTCGCGGGTATCGGCGCAATTGTACAGTGGTTCTACGGAGGCCGCCTATGCTCCTCACGTTCGTGATAACATCGGAACCGTTATGTGGCCCCCCACCATATTAACGGGCGCCGCAAGCATAAATCAATTGTGGCCGCAACGCTGCCTGCCAGCCTGAGCCAGCCTTCGTCGGACCCGTTGTGTCCATCATCGCAGGGTGGGTGCGGTGGCCTGCTGTTGCGCGGAAGAACTCAGAAAGTCTCTGTCGTCCTGCTTCACCATCATTGTGGCGATTTCGACTCTACTTGAACGCTCTCGGCTCCGAACACCTCCCTTCTCATGCGCACGTACGTGGTTCCCATATCCCCCCGAAGTCCTCGCACAATCATCGGGAGCATATGACGCTCATACATATATCCCTTCGCTTCTCCCAAACATTCTCCCACATCGCAGAAATGGCAACAATCTCTCTCAACACCGAAGCATCGTGCAGCTCCCTCTGAGAACGTTCAGTCATCCTCTGCGTATGTGAATCTCTTGGCGGCACTGTTCAACCTTACCGTTTCCTCATGCTTGCTATATAAACACGCGAAACGCCCACCTAGGGTCTCTTCCCCACCTTACCTCCACAAAATGTCGGACGGCGTCGCCATCGTCGAGCGGGACTCGGACAGCCAGAGTAGCAGCGACAAGCTCAAGCGCCAGCCCCGCCAGTACGTCTCCGAGGTCGGCGCGCGCCCGCAGATCGTGTACTCGTACGCGCCGCCGCCCCCGCCTCGTGTCTTTGCCAACCCGGTATGTCGTGCAATGACGGCTGAAGGCGTTTCAATACTCAATGCGGATGTGTGGCACGGTAGACCGCGCTGGGGATGCTGGCGTACGGGACGGTGTTCTTGTGCTCGTCGCTGATTACGCTGGGCACGGGGAACGTGCATACGCCGAATATGGTCCTGGTTTTCGCTATGTTGTACGTATCCAGCTTGATAATGGAGAGGCGCAACACTGACCGTTCTCTTTTAAAGCTATGGAGGGATCATGCAGACTCTAGTGGGCATGTGGTCGCTTTTCCTTGGGTGTGTTGCGGCTGTCCTTGATTCATGTTCTCCACTGACGAAGCATTGGTGCTACAGCAACACGTTCGGAGGGTGAGTGTGCTCGACTCTTCCGAATGCATCATAGTTCTCTATTGCGTTGCAGCGTTGTGTTCTCAACATACGGAGGCTTCAATTTTACATACGGCGCGCTGTATCTCCCTAGGATCGGTCTAGCGTGAGTCACCGTGCTATATATGCCCATATACCTGCACACGCGTCCTGAAATGAAACACAGACAAGCGTACTCTGTGAATGGTGTCGTCACTGAGGAGTTCACCCATGCTATCGGGATATTCTTGGCCATCTGGTGGTAAGCCATGAGTCCTGACTTCATCGCTTCTTCTCCGCTGAAGTCTCTTTCGTCATGCTCGCACAGCTGGATAACGTTTCTGTTCTGCATCGGGTCGCTGCGGACGACTTTCTCCGTCGTCTTCACCCTTGGCAGCACTGTCTGCGCTCTTTGCTGTCTATCCGCCAGTTGTTTCACAGGTATGTATGATTATGATCTTGATTCCTGACATGGACTGAAGGCAAGACAGGTAATGCACATTTGAACACTGCTGGAGGTGCGCTGGGCATCGTCGCAACCTTCGGTGCATACTACGGCGGGCTGTCAGGCCTTTATTCCGGGGAATGCACCTTCAAAGCCATCCGCCTCCCCCCTCTCGTTCTGTCATACTCGAATGCGTGAGAGGAATGCTCCGCGTTTGATGGCGTTCAGGACGTGGTCGTATGTTGAGCCGGTCCCGGCTTCCCAGAAGTTTGTATGTTGATATCATCCATGACACGATGTCCAATAGAGGAATGATACGAGCCATTAGCTACGACATCCCGAGTCTTTCATTCTCGCCTGCCTGGCAACATCTGATCTCAAATAGCGCTCAGTTCTGCTTCCTGTGCGACTCCTTGTGTCCGATTAGTGAGCTCGCTTGATGCGAAGAGGGTTAGCGTCCGTATTGGGGTGGTTCCTGGTCCACACCACGGACGAAAAGAAGCCAAGTAATGATCGCGGGAGAGTGACGAACCGGGCGGATCGACTCGGTTCGTGGGGTATGGTTACCATATATGGCAAAAATATGGCATTTCCATTACCTGGCTTGGTTCTAGAAACGGTAACAGCCAGAAGAACCGAAGTCTCCTGACCAGAAAAGCGAGCATGTTTGGGCTAGCTCCAGCTCCATCGCTGGCGGGCCTCCTCGTCTTGCTTTCTTTATAGCGTCCAGCGACAACCAGCATGTCGATGAGCTCGGACAGTGCAGCGTCGACCTCGATGCGGACGCCGTCTGCGGCGAGTGCGTCCGAGGACGGGTTGGTGACGGAGAGGGCGGTCAGGTTCGACCAGGAATGCGTGCTCATCCCGGAGCCTGCGTCGAAATCGAGGAGACCGAGGCTCGTCATGAAGTCATATTCGTTGCCGCTGTGGAACAGGAAAACCAGCTCGGGCTCGAGCGCTGTCTCGGACTCGGACATCGAGTCTAACGAGGAAGGGCCTGTGCTCTTCAGGGTCACCGTTCCAAAGTGTGTTTGCTCTGTGTAGTCTTTGCTTGAGGGTGTATTGAATCGTCTGCCTACCGCCAGAATCATCTCGAAGAAATCTTCATTCACGCGCGATCGCGAGGAGGCACCACCCAGTCCGCTATCACCGTGCCTCGTTCATCGCGAGCCAGGCTCACCTAGGAGCCCGCGGCCTGTACGGCGCTGCTCTGTGCCCCTGTCTCCCCGCCCAGACCTTGTCACCATCCCCCTCCGCGCGTGCTGCCCCGACTGCATCCACACTACTGAGGAGAGCCTGAAAGAAGGCGCGGAATGGAAGGAGCGGTTCACCCGGGGCGCGCGGCGGAGACGCAATTCCAGCTGCTCATCGGACGAAGGATCTGGCGCGCGATACGGGGAGAGCGTCAGGTCGTCTTTGGAGAGGCGTGTGCTCAGCGTGGATGAGGTAGACAAGCGGCGGCGGTCGTCCGGATCCGGCGATGAACACGATCACCACAGAGGGCGGGAATGCATCATCAACCTGAATGACGAATCCCCGCACCTGTCGCGCAGCCCTGGCTCTCCCAACGATCCCCCGTGTCTCGGAGTCAGCACTGTCGGCCTCAGTCCCTCGATACCGCGCGCATCGCCAATCCCAGAAGAGGACGAGGACCAGCTCTTCCCCCTTCCCTCTCCGCGCCGGTCGCCCTCCGCAAGTCCCACAGGGTCCACCTCCTGTCTCACCACGATGAAGGACGACGTCGACCCGACTGCACGGAGCCCCACGCGCGAGAGCTCAAGCGAGTCTATCACCTGCGCGTCCCCGAAATCCCCTGCGCCCTTCACGAGCAAGAAGTGCGAAAAGGGTTTCCTTGCTCCGGACCCCTCCCTCTGGCTACCCTCGCCCGCCGTCGATTCGCCGACTACCCTTTCGTCCTCGCCGCCGGGTTCCCCAGGACTCACCGCCGACGTTGATTCAACGCCACCGCATCCACCGGCGTCGCAGCCCATATCCATCCCCCCGTCGCTCTCCCGCCGCGAAGCCCCGCAGCCCAGCGAGTCGCCCATCCTGGAAAACCCTGTGCCCTCCCGCCGAGAAGCATCCACCTCTTCTGCGGTATCCGCCACGTCAATGGAGTCCGAGGGGGTGTCGCCGCGGAGCGCATCCCCGGAGACGCGCAGGAGGCGGCGCTCGTCCCTGCAGCAGCTGCACATGGCCATACCGGGCCTCCTGCGCGCGAGCGCCGACGTGCTGCGGGGCGTCACTGCGATCAGCGGCACGCCCATGTCTACGTGACCCCCCTATCCACCCATCTTTTGTTGTCCAAAACATACTTGCTCCTCGGAATTTTGGGATCATACCCCGCTATTTATTCCGCCGCGCACCGTTGTTGTCCGTTAGTCCCGTCGCCGTCTCCGTCTGTGCATAGTGATATCCTGTTGTGTATATTGTACATCTTTGTCCTCGTCCACTAATCTTTGTCTTGCTTCTTGGCCGGACCGGAGAATGCACACACACCTTCGTTGCTTCGTTCGAGTTTATTTTCTTCTTTTTTGGCGACATCCTCATGGTGTGCCCGGTTTTAGTCTACAGTCGACTCTGTCCTAACCCATAACGGGTCGTGGAACCCAAAAGTTATGGGTTTTTGCAGACTATGGGTTACCAGAGCGTGTGACATTGTGTGACTACCTAGTAAGCGTGACAGACAGCCTATTCGGTATAGGCCGGACGTCGTTTATGACAACGTTTAGATACGGAATCTTGAATCTGGTAAGGGTTATCTTCTGAAATACCACGAGAACCGAGAATTAAGGGTCGAGATAGTCCAGGTTCTCGTGGGAAGGAGACCTGCACCTTCCTAATATAGGTTGTTTTATGGGTTATGACCCTCCAAAAAGTTATGGGTTATGGGATACGGCAGACTTATGGGTTTTTACTATCTACCATGTCGGTGGAGGCCAAAAACCTATGGGTTATTACAGGTTATGGGTTATGACAGGTATGGGTTAAGACAGAGTCGACTGTATTTATCGCAGAACTTAGGTCCTACGTTACTTGTCGTTTATTGTTGTTGGTTGTCGATACGAGAGCATGTCGGAATCGAAGTCCACATTACTGTGCGCTATTGTAGCATATATTCCCTATAGCACGTAGTCATTGCCAGTACAAAGCGTCTATCTGCCATGGCCATCGTCCGAATTTTCCCTGATGGGCATTGTTTCTGCTTCGCAGGGCAGCAAAGGGGACTCCAATGAAGACTCCTCGCATCGCATCCATCGCATCACGATGGCTGGAAGGTCGACAACACAACCGCCTTTCCCGTCTGTCTTTATGCAGCAAGTCTGCGTCTTTACCGCACTTGTGTCTCTCCACCACTCAGGGCCTCCCCTGGCCCATCCCGGAGAGCCCCTGTGAAGTCTCGAACGGCACTAGACCAATCGTCTCGGCCAGCAGGTCGCTATGAACCTTTGGGTAGTTTAACTTGGAATGTACCTGACAAATAGCCATGATCAACGAATGACATCCAGTGCACGGGCGAAAATGTGCTTACATTGCGGCAGCGAAGTTATCTCAGGTACCACTGTGGCTTGTAACCCTAACCTTGAGAGTGCCCCTTTAATGATTCCAGCGGGCATGGCCACATACTGAGTATGTCATGATAATAAGGATATATACATCAGTCACATAGCTCTGTTATGTGGCAGGATTCTCCGTACCATTCGCGCCCGCTTGGTAGCATCCGCCCTTCCTTCCCAGGACGAGATGCGAGAGATTGGCTTGAAGGAATTGTCTTGCAGAACATACACGCCCTAAGGAGAGGTCAGATAGTGCCAGGCGAAGGGTAAGTGCATGGTACGCGATGGTTTGTCCGGAGGTTGTCGACTTGCTTGTCCCAGCAAGCGACCCAGAGGTCTTTGCAGATGAACTTGATCATATCTAAGGTATCGGAGAACAGGGGTCTATCCCTACATAAGCTACCTCATTCCAAAACGAATGAGCATTACTATCAATAGGGCGAAGTACACTGTGCCTCGCACCGTTCGCATATGTTCGACCCAACATGCAAGCCGACCGCCTCTAAGCGTAACCTCAGTGCTTCCTCTTCCTCGGTTAACGGCTCTGCCTTAGCCCCCTTCGCCGAGGATAGACTTGTCGTCGAATCCCGCACATTGTACTCCTTCTCCTTCTTCGCCGGTACTGGCGGCGGCGCAGGCATCAACCCCGCCTCGATCATCTCCTGTTCGATCTTCTTCACTCGCGCAGTGGCGACCGCTGAGGACACCGAGAGTGTCTGCACCATCTCTATGAGGAAGTAATCCATGGCGGGGCCGTCCATCATGCGCGGGGGTGCCTCGGCGAGAGCGAGGCCGCTTGTCAGGCCCATTGAAGACGACGACGAGGGTATCATAGAAGAGGTTCCTTGGAATGAACTGCGTGCAGCCATCGCTGTTGTACTACCGGCCGGCAGCACAGTTAGTTACGCGTGCAAGTGAAAGTCAGACGCAGACGCGACCGCGACGAACGCGGTGGCGGCGCTTGCACCTCTCGCGCCACCATCATCTCCTCCTGTTCAATACCTATATAGTACAGGGCGACAGTACACGACCACGCCGTCTAGGCTTATTGCAAGATGGCGGGTTTTGGATCTCTTCTTGCTGGACGATGGATGCCGAGCTCGATAATGCAGCACCGGAATCCGCTCGATCTTAGGCAGGATGACCCGCTTACGGACGTCCGATTCAGACTCGACGCCATGCCCAATGGCAAGAAATACGTGTTTACAGCGAGTGCGCGCGCAGAGGTTCTATCAGAGCTGTACGGTGTATTCTGGGGAAACTACTCGCACTTGTTCTTGCCAAATAACAACTCGAGCTTGCCTATGCACGCCACACTGAGCGAAGTGCAATCGAAGCTAAAGTTCTGCGGCGCTGGGGAGCCCGAGCCGGTGGTCCCTGGAATGTCATGCGGGCATATATTCAAGAAGGGAGAGAGTTGTTTCAGGTGCAAGTGCGTTGAGTCAATCTCCTCGCTCTAGACGAACGCTAACGGTATGCCGCAGGGATTGTGCGCTAGATGACAGCTGTGTACTGTGCGCGCGATGCTTTCACGCATCCAATCACGCAGACCACAATGTCAGCTTTTTCATAGCCCAGCAGTCCGGTGGCTCTTGCGATTGTGGGGATGTTGAAGCGTGGCGCAATCCCATCGACTGTCCGCACCACCCTCCTGCTCCGGGAGCTCGTGAAGCCCTGGAAGCCGCGGTCCAGCAAGCGATACGCTCAACCCCTAGAGTCGTTCCGCGTACCATTCTAGCATCCGACGTCCTCCCCGTGCAAGATTACCCACATCGGGTGACGGTGCCCCACGAGCTGCGGGAATCTATGAGCCGCGCCATCGCCTTTGCGCTCGACTACGTGCTTGATACTTTGGACTATTCACCGGAGGAGACGCGTGTGTCGAAGACCGAATCGGACCTGCGGACGCAAGCCACCGCGGACCCGATGGTTAAGGATACATACACCCTCATTGTCTGGAACGACGACAAACACGCATTTGCTGAAGTCACGGACTTGATTGTTGATTTAACAGGGCTGCCCAGGGACGACGCGTACCAGATGACATGCAGGATTGATGAGATCGGGCGGGAGGTGATCGACATGGGGAGCAATGGAGCCCATTTGCTAGAAATGGCCAAGAAGATCGCTATGGTTGACCTTGGGGTGACGGTGAGGAGAGCACACGACACGTTCCGGGAACACATTTCAAGTGTGATGATTGAGTGGTTGCTGGACCTAACGAGGTGTCGAATAGGCACCGACGCGATATACCTGCGGGAGCTCATCGCCGAGCAGCTGCTCTCTCCCCGTTCACGGGAGACGCTCTCGTACTCGAGTTCGGGACCACTGACCGCTGTCGCCGATGCTGTCAATCCATCTCGACTAACATGGCTATTCCTGTTTCATACCAAACTGTGGAAACGGCCCCGTCTCAACCTTAAAGAGATATACGTATCTGTGCTTAATCTGAGTCACGATCATAAGTTGGCTGTAGGTAAATGTATCTTCATATTCTTGTACATGCCGTATCTTATACGTCCTCTTACAGCCTCCCATTTTGCGCACGTCTATCACCGTGTCATCGACGCGTATCTGCTCGTGGATCGCGAAGCCGAGACGTCCATTAAGTACTTCGCCTTGCAGCTGTTCACCGTACCCTCCGTTGCTTTACACATCGTCAAGCACCACAACGTCGTTGCGCGCCTGCTCAACGTAATTGTTGCCTTCTTCACGAACCAAATCCAAGACAAACGCATTGTAATGAACCCGCGATGGAATGCAGATCTCGACGTCGAGGCATCCCCATTCAAGTCTAAGCGCTTCATGCCGGTTTTCAGCGACCTCCGGTATCTCTGCCACAACGAGCCTGTGCAGCAGCTCATTGCGCATAATGAATCGTTCATCCGAATGTTCTCAAGCACCTGCCAGCTGTTTATGTGTATCAATCCGAACAAACGCGCAGCAACGAACCACGTCGAATACGAGACGGATGCATGGATCAGCGTGTTCAATGTCACTTTGTCGCTGTCACGCGTAATCAAGGTTTACGGCGAAGCATTTGGGAGAGCCACGACCGCGGAGCTGGTAGCAGCCATCGACACGGTCATACACCATATTCTCAGTGTTTGCACGCTGACGAACGATCGGCTTGACCGGTCTAAGTTCACTCCCATTGCATTCCACGACGTGGAATTTGGAGGTGCGCCGTACCATATCGTTAATTTCGACGTGCTTGAAGGGTGGGTGAGTTTCCATCACTCGCTCCACTGGCTTCTGGCGGAGTTGTTCAAACATGTGGATATCCTGAGCGACGAGAATCTGCGAGAAGTAGGTTGCCGTACTCTCCGGGAGTTGCTACTCCAAAAAGCGAGTGAGCGAGCCCTGCTAACTATGGTGGACTTCCCTCTACGAGGTACGTGCTTGAGGTCCCTCATCGTATGTTTGACCTTCACACATGATTCACCTGCAGTGCTCGCTATGATAGCCCAGATCCGGACGGGCTTGTGGGTACGGAACGGGTTCGCAATCCGAGGCCAGCTCTTGCATTACCGGGACTTTATGCTCAGAGAACTATGTTATGACCAGGACCTGTTCATCCTGCAGACGGCTCTTGTGATCCTCGATCCAAGCCTCGTCTTCGTCACGATATTGGACCGATTTCAGCTGCTGCATTATTTCTCCGGCGCGACTATCCATCCATTTTACGAGGGACCTCAGCTGATGGGCATGGTTGAGGAAGTTCTTTACGTCCTTATCACCATTCTGAGCGAGAAAGCCGCCCCTTCCAAGCTCCCGACTCCGGTTGCTATACGGCGAGAAATAGTCCATGCCTTGGCTGTGGGACCCTGCACATTCACAGATCTCGTCAAGCGCGTTGCGGAACGTATGGTAGAGGATATCTCTTTCGAGCGTGTCTTGAAAGAGGTGGCAGACTTCAAGCCGCCTGAAGGCCTAACAGATTCCGGCTTGTACGAATTGAAGGACGAGGTGTTCGATGAAGTGACCCCTTTCTTCTACCATTATACGCGGAATAAGCGTGAGGAGGTGGAAACCATTCTGAAGAACCGATTGAAGAAGAAAGGCATCCAGAACCCGGTTATTGTTCCCCAACCCCTGGACATCAATCATGGACCCTTCACGGTGTTGAAGCATGCCTTCGAGTCAGAAGCGCTTTTACAGATCATATTCTATGCCCTTCACAACATTGTCGAAATGACCAAATCCTCTGGTGCATCACCTCCTTCGTCAGAAGCTATCCTCGACCAGGGTTTGCATCTTATCATGTTGGCGCTGGTAGAGAGGCCGGTGGTTTTCAGTAATCTCGCATTCGCGAAGACCTTTGAACAGAAGACCCTGCTGGAGGTCGTATGTAGTATGGAGCACGACAAGGCTTACGTCCCGTATAAGGATCGTGTTGTTTGGATACTTGATCAGTTCGACCAGCACGTCCCGGCGGCCATTAGGTTACATAGGAAAGTCATTGCCCCTGCTCAAACTGGACCTGATGCCGAAGATGAGAAGAAACGCGCTGCTAAGGCGAGGCAAGAAGCAATAATGAGGCAGATGAAGGCTCAGCAAGCTAGTTTCGCGCATAATTTCGATGACGTGGACGACGACGACGAGGAGGACGAGTCGACTTCGGTGGAGCAACCAGAGTCCTATGGAACTTGCATCGTATGTCAAGAGGATCTGAACTCTGCCAAAGCTTTTGGTCTCCTCGGATTACTCCAACCAAGCCGTCTCATACGACGGCACCCAGATGGTCAGCATACGTACTTCTATGAGGCTCTTCAGACGGCACCCAGCTTGGATCGATCTAGGCAAACTGCAAATGACACAATGTTTCCACCTCCAGACGCGGACGCAAGAGATGCGAAGAACAGGCAGAATCTCAGCTTCGACGGATTTCCTTCCCAGAGCACCCGCTTCGGTGTCTATGGGTCGATCTGCAACCATATGATGCACCTGGAATGTTTTCAGACATACAGCGCCTCCATCAGATCTCGACACCGAGCGCAGCCTACAAGGAATCATCCAGAAAATATCCCCCGTAAAGAATATATTTGCCCCCTATGCAAAAGTTTAGGGAACGTTATCATCCCCCTGTCTTTACCAACCGATGCTACCCTCAGCGAAGTGCCATTTTCTGATTGGGTCCGAGCTTCAGGGATCAGTATACTCAAGTCCAAACCAGACCCCCAACTTGATGCATTGCAGTTCAGGAATGGGACAGGCGAATTTGTATTCTGGGCTGCCCAAGATGTCGGTTATCCACAGTATTCAAGGACGCACGACAGGTGGGAAAATGTTGAATTGCACAGGATGGTCGATACCGTTATGGTCATCACTAGGACGCTGTCGCAGCAGACCCGGCACCTCCGAGACCGCCTAGAGCCGCAAGACGGCGAGCGAGGGGTGGGTTTATATCTGCCTGAGGAGTTGGTCGGATATACGATCGCATCTTTAGAGGTGGCTCAGCGTGGCTGTGGCTCTCCTGGTTCCACAGTTGCCGACAGCCTCACAGATGCTCAGACACGCTGTATCGGAGGCCTGCTAAGATGTCTAGTCAAGCTGACTGCATTACAATTCAAAGGCAGGGCTGACGAAGGGAAGGACGCCGTGCGACAGGCCATCATCAAACGACTACTCCCAGAATGGAGTCGTAGTTCCCTGACGCCATTCTCTTCACCGTTACTCCTTCGCGATCCTTTCACACTGCTGGTGGAGACAGCGGCTGTTGCTCCAGACATGCTTCGTCATGTCCTCGTGCTGACATACTATGCATGTCTGGCCCGCACCGTCATCGGATTAGTGTATTTCTGCAGCAAGACGCGCAACTTGAACGGCAGTGTAGGGGCGTACACCTCGCATGAAGACATCTTTGGCGACGTGCGGATCTTCTTCATGTCTGTCGCTCGTCACTCCCCTGTTTTCGAGCACAATGCTACTTTGGCCTTTCAGACTTTCGGAGAATCCCGTCTTGAGAAGCTGCTGTATTCGTTTACATTGCCCTTTCTTCGTCGGGCGGCCATTCTGTGCCGTGCAGTACTCCCATCTGCCTATCCTACCCCTACTTTCGAAGGCGAGGAGCCCTCAGAGTATCGCCGTCTCTTGGTTATGTTGGGTATCCCTCCCCTTAGTGACCTGCCTAAGCAAGACACCCTCCAGAATTGCCTATCTGGCTGGTGTGCTCACTATGGCCACTCCCAGGTTGCATCCCAGTTCAACTTTGGCGTCACTCTCGAATACCCAACCATATATCGTATCGCGCAGCTCCCACTGATCCTGGACAACCTGTTTGGCGACCACGAGAAAGTGATGACATGCACGCGATGCAAGGCTGTCCCTGCTGACGCCGCAATCTGTCTGATATGTGGAACAGTCGTCTGCTTGCAAAGTCACTGTTGCTGGGACCTCGATGCTAAGAGGGGCGAATGCAATATACATACGAGAGAGTAAGCTAAGCATTAGCCTTATCTACTTTATTATGGGGCTGATCGCCTCGCAGGTGCGGAGGCGCTATCGGGCTGTATTTCCTCGTGAAACGCTGCTCCGTATTATATCTCTATGCCGGCAGCGGTGCGTTCCAATCGCCGCCATACCTCGACGTGCACGGAGAGGTAGACGTGTCCATGAGGTGAGTCATTCCTTGTAACCCACCCTCAATGTTCTGACGTCGGTATGCAGAAGAGGACGAAGACAATATCTCCATCACGCCCGGTGGGAGGATATCCGCAAGAATTGGATAACCAACGGCATCCCTACGCTGGTAGCACGGAAATTAGAGGCTACTGTCGACAATGGAGGTTGGGAAGCCCTATAACATGCGACGTTTCTTACTACACTATTGCTTTCGAAGAACTGTCTTTCCCCATGCACACCCATGTATCATTACAAACGCATCTGATTTGTAGCATAATTTCCCCTAGAATACGAGTAATAATTACATCTTGCTGACAAGTGGACTGCCGCGGATGGTGTGTAGCCGTTCCAGTGTACGTTCTGGACCAATTGTGTGCATAATCTCCGCCACTGAGGGACCAGTCTGGCAACCTTCGCATTAGCGTAGAATGGCATAAGAGAATCACGCATTCTACCTTCATCCCTGTGAGGGCGTGTCGAAGGATAGTCATGAATACCCTGCTCTTGATACCGCTCTTTGTAGATTCTTCGTGTAAGGCTGCGGATATATTCTGCTGATCCCACACAATATCAGGCTTTTCAAGGCGGGCCGCGACCGCCCGTGTAACGTCAGCTGCACAAAATATCAGTCGCGGCCGCTTGATCAGGCAGAGCTGGTAGCTTACAGTATTCTGATGGGCTGATCGACTTCACCATCTCATGAGCTTCCGCGGTGAAGAAGTCGGGCTCGATGAAAAAGTATGGTGCGAGGAAGGGAAACTGCTGCAGGTTCGTCACGCGCTCCTGCAGCGTTGGAATGACCTTCTTGATGTAGTCTTCCGTCGTGTACTGGCTGCATACAACATCCACGAAGTAAGTGCATCCGCGGTGACGGTTGATGGAGTAGAAAAGGGAACAAACCTGAGGGGGAAGGCAGCCTTGACAGAGTCGTGTAACCGCGCCGCGAGGTTGTCCAGGCCTTCCGGGGTCGACCACGCCCGCGTGAGGTGATGTTTGTTGATGTACTCCAGCTTCTTGGGGTCAAGAACCGAGCGGCGGTGGGTTAATGCTGACAGGTCAAACTGGCGCAACCAAGATTAGAGAAGTCCTCGGGAGGTAATGAAGTGTTCGTTGCACACCTTTTCAATCAGTTCAGACAGCGTCATCAGAGCCGTGCTGTCTGGTGCGGGCGCGGATGACGCAGACGTCGACCCAGCGCTGGTATCTGGGTTCTCGTGCTGCACGCCCCATCCCGCCAATGCCAGCCAATTTAATACCGCGGCAGGCTCCCAGCCGCGGCGCTGTACAAAGGTCGGATATATATACGAGAGGACGCAGGATAGTGGTACTCACGATGTAATCCATAACCTGCACGTCGCCCTTGCGTTTCGACATCTTTGTCCCGTCGTTATTTAGTAAAATTGGGAGGTGCGCGAATTGCGGCGGGGCGAGGGACAGACACGCGTACAGGTCGAGGTGCAGCGGTAATGATGGCAGCCATTCCTATTTATTGCGCACCCGAACGTCCCTAAATGTGAGTACCAGAATGTAGACAGACAAACGCCATTTACCTCACCGCGTACGACGTGCGAAATTCCCATTTCGTGGTCGTCTACGACGGACGCGAGATGGTATGTCGGGAAGAGGTCCGACTTGAGCAGGACGGGGTCCGTCGGGAGGGATGCGTGCGTGTCTTTCAGCGCACCGAACACGATGTCGTGAGGGGCAGGGCGTTGTGGTAAGTTCCCATCCTAAAGTATTTCAATGCTCAGTGCTCGAAGATGAGCAATGTGGGGGTGGGACGTACGTTCAAACGAATGATGTGTTTCTCCCCTGCGCGCACGCGCCGCGCGACTTCCTCGTCCGTGAGATGCAGACACGCCTTGTCGTACGTCTCATTGGAACCGGAGCGTGCCAGTCTCTCTCGGGTAGCAGACAGGCGGTCGGGTGTGCAGAAACACCTGTACGCACGGCCGGACTAGAGCAGCGAAAATACTCAGGTGAACGGACGTATGCCAGACAAGTGAAGCAGCGACATACCTCTAGCAGCTTATTTGCGTACATCTTGTACAAGTCCAGCCTTTCCGACTGCCCTCGTCAGCCAAACAAACGTACCTGGTGTCCCATAAACCTAGCCTACCTGGAAGTACGGTCCATGCGGACCTCCCTTAATAGGTCCTAATCCTACTCAACACCCGAACACACCTCCCGCAGAACGCGGAGCAGACTTACCATAGTCATACTCCAACCCAGCCCAATTCAAGCTTTCTCTGATATTGTCCACTGCCCCGGGGACATACCTCGTCTATCCCGCACGCGTCTTCTACATTTCCTATTCGCAGGAAGGAGATATATTACTCACAGCGTCGGTATCCTCAATGCGCAGGATCCACTTCCCGCCGTGTTTACGTGCATACAGGTAGTTGTAGAGCGCGGTTCGGAGGCCGCCCAAGTGGAGGGAGCCGGTGGGTGAGGGCGCGAATCGGAGGAGGACCATGTTAGTAGTCGAAGTACAGTATTCTAGGCGAATTAGTAGGTAGGCGTGAACGAGTCCCAGTCGCTAGCAGTCTAGTAGAGACATGTCGCACCGAGGTTTACTGCGAATTCAAGTAGCCATGATCGAGGTCTGGAGCTCGTCTCGGTCAAGCAGCCTGGAAGCCTCGCTTTGAACGCTTGTTTCGAGATCCCAACTAAATCCTGAACGTTGAACTCTTCTAAGAGCTCAGGCAAAGTGCAACACAGTGTCGTACATGTCCAAGAGTCTCAGATTGGTATTGCTACATGCAAATTACAGAACAGAACATTATCACAGAGTTAACAGCACGGTACGAGGGAGTGAACGACGAGTACGCGTCCCGCCTCTCAGAAACGATTCCGCTTCCTCTGCGGCTTCGCAGACATCTCCGCAGTTGCTCTACACGTCGAGCCCGTCAGAAACCCTCGCCACAGCCGACAAAACGACAAGGAACGTACTTTCGGTTCTTGCCTTTGATGTTCTCCACCGGCTCGTCGACATCCATACTGTCCATGGCCATCTTCTCCTGCATCGAACCCATCCCCAGGACCTTCTTCCCGGCCGCCTTGTTCTCTTTCTGCTTCTCCGACACTTCTTTGAGAATGTTCTGCACGGTCTTGTCGTACTCCTCGTCTTCGGCTTGTTTAGCTGCTGTCCGAGAAGACAAGGAAGCGAGCTTATTGTCCAGCGTAGCGAGCACGGATGCGGTCGTGGACGCCCTGTATCATAATGACGCGTAACACCAGTTCGGAGTCAGCGTAAGATAAGGAAGGACGCAGCATGCGTACCAATCCTGCAAGGCAGCCAGAATCCCCTCTACCTTCCCTGGCTCCAAATCCCGCCCCATTGTATACTCAACCTCGAACTGTTGCTCCTTCTGGTCGAGCTTCCCCCGAATCACATCCATGTACACTGCGTCGATAATGAGGTCCTCCAGCTCGCGGATAGTCGCCATGTCCAGCGCCTGCAGAAGGGTACTATACGGCAGTATCTAGAGATACCCAGACATCAGCAGCTGGTACACAAACTGAATGTTGAGGTAGGCGTACCCTGCGTTCCATGGCTAGGGAGACTAGGGAGAGGTGCTTCAGCTTCGTGATCTGAGCCTGGTTGAGCGATGGCAGGACGTCCTTGTGTTCTTTCCGAAAGAACACATGAGACGGTGTGATGAGCGGAATCTCGGGAAGACGGACTCAACGAAGGTAATCCTGGTACGTCTTGTACGAGAAGAGCTGTAATAATGAATAATACTGCGCATGCTGCTCGCTCGTGGCCAGCTATATCACCGATCAGTCAGTATGCTATGCATGCGGCTATGAGCAGGAGTTTAATACACACCTCCTTGATATTCGGCTGGTCCAGTAACTCTGCGAATACGAATACCCCAGAGGCGGCGGTGGCGTCCTGCACAAGCTTCGCAGCCGCCGCACCCTTGGCCGACTTCGCCATGAGTAGAAACGGTTCTAACTTCGCTGCAAAGCTCGTGCCCAGTTCGATCGACATCTTGCAGAGATCAAGCAAGCAGCTGCAGCAACCCGACGTCGATTGGGCACGCTCGATGAATACAAAGAAGCTCAATGTGGCAAACGAGGCGCTTGGTAAGCAGACGCGTACACACGCGTAAACACCTCTCGACGCGTTCATCAACCTCAGACTCAGCTCGGACTCAACCTTCCTGTTTTCGCAGCTGCCGTTACGACCTGCCCGTCATGAAAGTAACGATAAAGAACTGGAACGCCATTGCGCAATGGCGCTGGGACATCGGCAAAGAATTCGACGAGACCGACGACGAGGACCTGTGTGGCATCTGCCGGGTGGCGTACGAGGGCTGCTGCCCGCGCTGCAAGATGCCCGGGGATGATTGTCCCGTCCGTGCGTACCATAAACCTTCAGCTTTCACTCATAGCCTTGCTAAGGGCTCTCAGTGTGGGGCGAATGCGGTCACGTCTACCATATGCACTGTATCATGCAGTGGATCGAGCAGCAGCCTCCAAACAAGCAGAACTGCCCTATGGACCGTAAACCCTGGAGTATGTCCTCCTTTGCAATTAGGATTGTTGATATCAGTGACCTACCTAAATGAAGTCACCGCCGAGCGAAAGACTGCCAACACGGCTACCCAGCAAACCCAGGCTGTCCAATCATAGCCTTGTAACAACGGAGAGCGAGCGGCTGTTTTCAGCGAGTGAGCAAATCCACTGTAATGGATACAGCGCTACACCCGCACATTCCTCACGTTCATGGTTTTTTTATGTACGCGCCGTATCGCACTTTCGCAGATGCTCCACATCTACTCACTAACACAAAAAGTATAGGTTGATGCATGTGGTTCCAATGTGTATATAATGTACTATTATACTGGTATGGTTTTCCTCTTCACTCAGTCAGGTCCCGCCTGGGGGGTGCGGCCCTGTTTCCCGTAATACCTTGAGCCGGGGGTGTTGCCCTTTCGTCCACCAGTGCATGACGGACGGGTCCATAGGACATGGAAGGTCCGTTGAGCATGGTGCGGTACAAAATACCGCAGAGCATGCATTTTTGAGTTGGAATACTGGGTTTCCATCTTACTTGCATGTGAGCGCTCGATCTCAAGAACGAGAGCATATCGCAACAAGTGTGCCTATGCAATGCGTCAGAAGGCTCAGAGTGGATTAGAGGTGAGACTGAATACTAGTAAGTCTATCCTTTGAGGTCTTGAGCGTATGCAACTCTCACATGTTCGACAGGATTATGAGGGTTTGCCCGTAGGTCTATCATACTTCTTATATTGTAGACATGCTAACTCCCGCAGAGACACCCCGGTGCTACACAACACGGATGGACAATGTCCTATTCGACCTTCTCAGAGTCTTGCGCGATGTCGCGTCTCATTTACCCTCACGTCTTGCGCCTCATACTGGCTTTCTGATTCGATCCGCGCGTTCTCGTCTGTCTCGCTCTCAGTTACTCATCTGTCTTCTCTTGTGCTCTCGCGGCCTACCAGCGAGGAGGGAGGAGCGAAAGAAAAGAAGACAAAAGAGGACGTGTTGAACGTCGGAAGGGTCCCGACTCCTGAAGATGACCCCTTCAAGAAAGGGAATATCAACGAGTGTAAAGGCAAGAAGAGCAGTGGTTTCTCGACACTCAGCGGATGTGGGAGCGAGGATGACGGGAAGTGGGTGGTGCCTCCTAGGATGAGGGGCCTCGGGCTGGACATGAGCGCCGTGATGGGCCAGCAGCCGCACCCATACGCGAGTGTTGCGCACCGGCAGACGGTGTCCCCTGTTTCGCCTGCGACGCTGTCGCCGCTGTGGGGTGCTGCGACGCCGCCAATGCACCCTCCGCCGACTTGTCCATTGCCTAACGGTCCGCATCTGCAGGGGCTACCGACGCCGTCTAGTTCTAGTACGCTCCCGCCGTTGTCGGCATTCGACGCTGAAGGAAAGGAGCGGGCGCTTGTATACCCGCTGCCGGTGGCGCTGGGGCCTGTGCCCCCTCCTTCGACTATACACCAGCATGCTCTGCTGCAGGGGGCGGTCAGTGGTAGGAGGCAGTCGTTCGTTGTTGCGAAGAATAAGACGCACGGGCTGCTACGGAAGGTCAGGCATGTGCCTATTGTAGAGGTGGGCGATAGGAGTAAGACGAGTAATGTTTGTCCGTTCCCTGTGCCACTAGGCCCTGCGGTTCTGCCGTCACGTTTGTAGAGGGCATACAAGAGTGTGGTGATTGAGGAAAGGCAGTCGAGGATGATCTCTACGAATCCTTGGGTCAAAGTGCGCAGACGGAAAAGGGTCGGTGGCAGGAGGTCGAACAGGGAATCGAGGTACTTATTTTCAACTGCTGGTGGGGTGGACATTATGAGCTGATTGGGGGTGTTAGTTTATCCCCAAGAAGTCAACCCCCGATCCTGCGGGGCAGCTTGATATGGGGTGACGGCCTTTGATCATGTCGCCGAAGAACGGGTATTTGATCTCTGAGGCGTTGACTGCTACGAGTTTTCACCCATGGGTCGAGTGCTACCAACTTCATGCATGGGTCAATTGCCACGAGCTTCACCAATGGATCAATCCCTGGATGCGCGACTGCTCCTGATGCATTGGTAGTCGCCCCTGCCATGATTCGGAGAGGCAGTCAGAGGATCGTCGTTATTACTGATGACGACACCAGGGGGTGGTCGAGTCACAGTCGTCGCAGAGATGACAAGAGTCCATGGCTTCCGTCAGCCCTACCGCTCGGTAGCTCATCGAGCAGCAGGCATGAGCGATTGTAGCGAAGTTTGGAGGACGACTTGCCAGTGGGAAGGGCGAGCAGCGATTCGAGCTCTATCGCGTATCACAACGCGAGATCTTCGTGCACTGTGAGTCTTCTTGGGTCCCCTGTGAAGCGTCGGCTAGCCACGACAAGGTCATCCGGATCGCTGAATGTCGGGTTTCCAATCATGTGGAGATGAGTACGCTCTTCGCACAACAGATGACAAGGTTCCGGTTGGTAGCTGCGCCTGGATGGAGGGATCTCATGGAATTGTGTGAGGCCTTTGCAGATGTCTTGGTGGGTGAGAAGAAGGGACAGATTGTTCCTGTATCGCTGGTGGAGTAGCAGGCTGGGATGTCGATGGCTTCGCAGGTGTCTCCCGCCCGGTCTATGCGCTCCCTGGTATCTTCTGCAAGCCCGACTGGCAGCTGTCCAATCCTACCCTGAGGCATGAAGTGCTCTTTTTCGACGTTCCACTTGCTCCTAACCTGCCCCGACTACCCTTGGAGAGATCGGGAGAAGCTGTGGGAGGAGTTTCGTTCGTGAGGGTGTTAAAGGCGGTTTATAGGTGCCACACCCGCTCGTCCTTCCTTTTAGTCGTCCATTCTACGTCTCGCTCGCTTCACAACCTTCCTTTGCTCTGTTTCGAATTGGCTTCATGCGTTAACGGTCCCTTTACCTTCTCCTTTCGGTTTCCGTAATCACGATTTTATATTCGTCCTCGCGCACTCGCACTCCTTGGGGTTTTCTTTTCGTATAGTTGTATACAAAATAAATACCATTTTGCAGCTGTAGAAGGTCTTTTATTAGTTATTGACTCGATAAGATAGCAATAAGAGTAGAAATTCAGGAATATGAAGAGGATACCTTCCGGGTAAGTTCACAATACTAATGTGGGTGCTGCGTTAGAGGCGGTCACCCTCTGGATACCTATAGTGACGCATTCGTTGGAGGCACTCTCGAGACTGATTAATCTGCGTAAGTATTCTTGACCTTACAGCGATGTCGCCAGAGGTCAGGACTTCTGTGGCTTTCTTGTATGCAGATGAAAATGGTCTAGATATAGGTTGAAAATGTCAGACTTCCAAGCTGCTGGCACTCCAAGGTGAATGCCCTTTCCTTCATGTTCGGGCAAGGTGTCGTCAAGCTGAGAAAGTGGAGTATAATGATGGTCATATGGCGCAGATGATGCTGCTACATCTGAATTGCTGGACGACATCGTGTCCGTCGAGGAAAACCTCCCGGGCAATGCCACATGTTTTGATTAGAGCGCACCATGAGTTGGCGTCAAAGGGTAGCGTACTAGCGTGAAATCATGGACAAGTATATAAAACTCTCAGAAAGTCGCTGTAAATGAGACTGAGGTCGCGTCGCAATCTCGAAGGTCTCCCGCCTTACTGGTTACCCGTGGCACGACAGCTTGACTCTATTTGTTTGGGTCACGATATTCCGTCCCTGGATTCAATCAAAAGAGAAAGTAACCATCGACGGCGGGTGCATCAGCGAGTTGCCATAAATGACTCGGAAGCTATGAAGCACTACACAGACCTGATGGCCCCAACCAATCAAGCTTCAAGGGATCCCACCATCCCGTATGCACCCGCGTCCATTGCGCCGAACGGAGTCAACGCTATGTGTGGGAATGTTCGCATGTCACGCGCTGGTGACAATGTGACCAGCGCGTTGGACAGTTCGTCGCGTCCGCCCAAGTGCGCCACATTCGACTATCCCTACAAGTATCAATACATCGATCCTCGCGCCAGGGCGGAGCTGTAGGCAACGGTACAATCTGTTAACTACCTTAAGTCAAGAGAAGGCTGTCGTTTAGTCCACGTGTAGGGTTGCTGTGCAGCTCCTTGTTCTCTCTTTGGGTACTTGAGGACTCGCAGCCGCCCAGGTTTGTCCGTGTTTTATCTGATGGTTGATCGATGTTCATTTGATGGCAGACCTTGCTGACCACGCGGAGTTTGCCTCTTTAAACTCCATAAGTGGTGCGTGTTCACTGCTCACCTCTCTTTCCTCCCTCATTCACGCCCCCACGTTATGGCAGGCAAGAAAAGCAGCAAGAGGAAAGCCAAGACATTCCAAGCTCCCCGACCACACACTGTCGAGGGCTCGACTCCTACACGGCTTGAGTCCCAGGAAACTCCCACGAAGGCCCGCAGGCTGAGAACACAGCCTACCTTGTCGTACGGGAAGGACAACGAAGAGAAGATTAAAAAAGATCTTGCAACCGAGCTACAGGGACACATATTCAAGGATATGCCGAAACTTATCGAACACGTCTTCCCGGATGACGCTTTGCCCGCGTCTGTTGATATCATTTTCGACAAACTCGCAACGCTGGACAAGCCTCCATACTCGCAGGAGTGCCAGAGGTGGGATGGTTGCCCTATCCTAACCAGGGCGTCAAATCACTTTGGAGACCAAGAGATAAAGCTAGCTAATTGGCTCAATGGGCTGGCTGGGAATATCGGGGAAGTCGTAGGCAAAGAGTGCAAACGGGTTGCCACCGGCGCTTATGCCAGCAATAAAAACCCGCTCCCTGGCGGACCAGGCCACAAGCGTCGCCCCGACGTCCTGATCTTCAACAAGGACGCGCCCCAGACTTGGGAAACTGTCGTCTCCCACTGGGAACTGAAGAACAAGCGGACGCACAAGAAAAAAGCTGAAAGGGCTGTGGCAGAGGGTGTCCGCATGATCTACGTAAGCCAGGATGACAGGCGATTTATCCCGTCTCTGTCTATTCTAGGCGAGCATTGCATCCTCCACATACTCGACCGCGCCGGCCACGTGTACTCCGAGATGTTCAACATCCACAGGGATCCTCGATTGTTCTTACGGATCTTCACAGCGATTATGTTCTCAGACCGGGAATATCTTGGCTACGATCCCAGTATCACCACCCTCGACGATGGCAGTCGCATTGTGACCGTGAAGGGCAAATCGTACGTGATCAAGAAGCGAATATATTTCAGCCCTTCGATCCTCGGACGCGGAACCTCGTGTTGGCAAGCGACTCGTGATGGCGTCACATATGCTATCAAAGACTACTGGACAGACGTCACTCGCGAATTTACAGAAGCCGAGTTTCTGGAGGAGGCACGTAATGCCGGCATCGAGAATGTTTGCCAGCTAGTAGACGAGGAGATTCTCACCTTTCGAGGGAAGGAGGACACGACTGACCTCGTACGACCTGCGATAAGGGCGAAGAAAGGCAAGAAGAAATACCCAAAGCAAGACTGCCGAGTACACAGGCGCCTCGTGTTGCAGCCCTTTGCAGAATCCATCGTCGAATTTGAGACGAAGCGGGAGTTGATCAAGGCGTTTATAGACGTTATTCAAGGTGAGTGCTCCCCTTCTGCCTGATAACGTGGATCTTGACTGCGAATGTTACGTGTAGCGCATAAAGCACTGCTCGAGAAGGTTGGGATACTTCATCGAGATATCAGTTTAAACAACATCATGCTAGCCGCCACAAGAGACGCAGCGGGCCAGCGACGAGGAGTGCTTATTGATCTCGATTATGCAATGCGATATTCAGAGGATGAGGCGGAGCAGGGGAAGCAACGGAAGACTGCCACAGCTGAGCGCACTGTGAGTAGCCATGGGCACATGAAATATCCATGTAAACTCACGAGGGCATAGGGAACTACCCCCTTCATGGCCCTGGACCTTCTGTGGGGTGGTGGGGGGGTGTCGCATAGACCCGAATGGGATCTTGAGTCTTTCTTCTATGTGCTCTTCTGGATCTGTGTTCTCTATGATGGCCCCAGAAACTCGGAAAGACGTATCTCTTTCAAGCAGACTCCACTGTACCACTGGACCGAAGGCAGCTTCGAAGAGGTGGCGCAGAACAAGTCTAGCGTTGACAGTGACAAGGGTTGGCCTAACACGCTTGTACGGGTGTCGCCGTATTTTGAGGACCTGAAGCCGTGCCTGGACCGATGGCGCTATATACTGTTCAAGAAAGGCAGTCCGGCCACCCACGATGAGGTTGTTCGTATTCTGCAAGAGACGCACGATGCCTTAGAAGAAGAGGAAACCCCGGAGAACGCGCCTGGCTCGGTGCAGGGTCAATCCGAGAAGCCGATCAGCGCCGTGCGCCAGTACCACACTCGCTCATACCTGGAGACATCAAAGAAAAAGAATCAGAAAGAGGAGGCTTCTGAGGACGAGGTTGAGGAAGATTCTGAGGATGGCTCTGGCAAAGAGTCTGAGGACGACGTTGGGGAGGAGCCTGAGGAAGACCAGGTCGCCGAAGACGACGATGTGCCGGACGAGGACGAATCGAGCGAGGCAGAGGAAGATAGCTCTGACAGCTCTTACTCTCCTAGTCCCTCACGCGCTCGGGTGCAGATTTCGAGCACTGGTTCGCGCGGTCGCAAGAGGACGCGCAAGGACACGGCGCAAGAAGATGACGACGACGGATATACTGAGTCTGGCATCTTTCCGGAATCGCAGAATGCTGGTTGGCGAAGCGACGCATTTACCTTGCACTCTCCCCATCCATCGTCTTCTGCTTCCTCCTGGAGTCAGAGAACAGCCCCAACCTCATCCGAAGCTAAGCGGCACCGTGGAAAGTAGGAGGTACTTGGTCTTTGTCTACCGCAACCTTCCGTCGTGCTCTATCTCCCGTCTCTGATGGGTCGTATATCGCTAATCGTTGCTTTGCTGTAAGTGCATGTTGTCCTTCTCTGTCGCCCATCGCTATGTCATGTACCTCTCGTAGTGGAATATATTCCCAACTATAGCTCCATCAGGATTGCGGACACATACAAAATTGGTACTGCTCATGGTGATGCTTATGGCGTGTTACTTTTGCACGCTTGGGCGATACCTTACCATCATGGAAATAAAGGGTTGCTTGCCCGGTGTTTTACAGAGCCGTACTTTGCCCCACACCATGTGAACTTGTTTTCTCAGATTGATGTCGTGTTCCAAGCACTAGTCACTATGCTGCCCACCGTGATTGTACAATATTAACAAAATTCAGTTCATCAGGGACTACCGACAAGTGTAAGTATTCCCCGTATGGTACAGATGTTCCGCCGCACTAGTACTAGCCACTCAACCCCATGCATACGGAGCTGCCAATGTTAACGTTCGGACAACGCGACCGTTCATTTTATGCAAGTCCCTCTTGATGTGTACTAAGTACGTCAGTGGATCACCGTCTTCCCCACATCGGCCTAGACTATAAAATGTGTTTGTATATTCCTTCTTGCATCGAACGAAAGTATGACCAGTGAGAGACGACCTTACATCATACAGCAATAATACTAATGTACATTTAATATGCATGCATTAGAGCAGATCAGGATATATCAAAAGGGTGAATGTCCTAACAGACGTCAAACATAGTTCCCCGCAACGACAAACAGTAAAGATGACTAGAAGTACACAATACGAACCGGACGGAAGATGTGCTGCAGCGCCTGTAGGAAGTATAACAAGATTGGTATCTAACTGTATGAGTGAACCTGTAGACAGTAGATAGTGGACAAAGCTTCTTGGGATTTCTTGGAGATCGTGCTGGTCATACAAGGAGGACGGGGGGACGTCCTGGAACCGCGTCTAGAGCCTACTGTTGGTCGTAGCCGCCGGGACCACCCAACGATGCCATCCATATTCTCGTTTTGTATAGCCTGATGCGATGAGTCGTTAGCAATTCAGCAATCAAGGCGGTGAGATGATATACAAGACGCACCGGAACAGCTCACGGACCAACTCACGGAAGTCGATCCGCTTCTCCGCAATAAAATAAAACGTCAACTTGCGTCGATCCCTATAGCCAGGCAGATGAGCCCCCGTAAAAGCAGGTAACCAACACCGCTCACCACTGGTACTCTGCATCGATGACTTCCATCGGAAGCTTCTTTTGCCGCACCTTACTCTGGCACAACTGTAGCGCCTTCACCTCATCCTGCATCTTCGTCACCAACAACCTATAAAGAAATCAATTGCGCTTTCATTAGTATTTGGCACCATGACAACAGCGCAAGACGTACTGCGTATCCTGGGGCCCTGCTTTTCCATATATCCGCTTCGGATTGATGTCCTTCTTCCCACCGGGGTGCGGGCCCCCAGGCGTCGTCGGCGAGCTGTCACCGTACCCACCGGCGTTCTTCGCCTGCTGCTGCTTCTGGAACGCCTCCACCTCGGCGAGCGTGATGCTGTCGTTCACCACCTTGCCGAGGTCCTTCCCGCGGTCCGCCTCAACGATGACCAGATCCCCGACTCGGATGTCAAGAGACAGATCGGTGCAGTAGAACAGATCCGTCCGGCCCGCTTTGAACTCGACGATGTATAACGGGCATGACGGCGGCACCGAGGATAGCGGGACGCCTTTTCCAAGCTCACTGACGCTGGGCAGCTCCGCATTCGAAGCCCTTCGATGAACTGTCGGCGATCCGGTGTAGAACGCCTGCTGCTGGCCATGCTGCAAGCCACGCGTGCCGGTGGGAGAGATGGGCGTGGGCAGCCCACTCGACGTGTAGGCGGGGCGACTGAACGACGGGGAGATCAAGTTCTCGGCCTGCTGCTGTAGCTGAGACAGCCGCGCAGCATTCTGGTACTGCGCTTCGTGCTCGAGGATGGTGCTGCGAGCCGGGCTTGTGCCGCTAGCGGAATACCCATTGTCGCTCGGCGAGCGTAGACTCTGCCGAGACGCGTACTGCACGCCGTTCGACGGGATGTTCAGATTGAGCTGTTGATAAGGCGACATCCGATCCTGCGGCGGCGGGTGCCGCGAGAGCGGGGCGTATATGGGCAGAGAGGAGGGCTGGCTGGGGGGATGCTGAGAACTCGATGACGACGGACCCGGTCTGTCATTTATGTTTAGCATGTTGAGGCTTCCCACAAGATCGTCGTCCGTCAAGAGCAGGCCTCCGCCCGAGAAGGAAGACGAATGCATCATGCCCGGCCGGCTGCTCTCCTCGGCGCCCTCGAGCCCCGGCGCGTTGAAGCCCACGATCCCCCGTCGCGGCTGCACCACACTTACGCTGTGTCTGCGACTCGTCGTGCCGCTGCCGCCGTGCCCGTTCTCGTCGCGCGGCGGGTGCATGCCCGCCCAGAGCTCGCGGAACGCGGACCCGTCGTCGAGGAGGATCTGCTCAACGTCGCGCATGAACGGGCTCATGTTCGAGATGTCGGTGCTCTGCCTGCTAGAAAAGCCGTCGCCGACATCACCGCCGGTCGGCGAGAAAGAGTGAATATGACTCGACGATTTGCCCGAGGGCCCAAGAGAACCATACCGGCTGCTGCCTGGTGGTCTGAGGTCACCATAACGAGAGCCAGTGATGTTCTGCGCGCTGGAGGCGTAGTTGGACTCCGCCCAGCTGGGGCCTAGACCAGAACGTTCGTAAGGACTCCCGATCGGCGTCGGTCGCGTCGTAGCCAAGGACTGAGACCTACTGCGTGCAAGATCAGAGGCATACGTGCGCCCCCTCGACGGTATTGACTGCGGAATGAAACGCTCATCATACGTATCTGACAACGCTTCTGATTCATCATCCTCGAATGTCGACGGGAAGCCGCCGCGGTACTGCTCGCGCATCATATTAGACAGGGTCGACGTATTGGGAGAGGTAGAGAACGAAGAGCTCCTCGTAGGGACGGATGAAGGTAGACCAGGGAGAGAGCCTGGGCTGAGGCCAGACAAGAAGCGCTGCTGCGAGCTCCCGCTACCCCACGGTGAACTGCCGGCGCCGAAGCTCGTCTGGCGATACAGGGACGAGAAGAGGTTGGGATTCCCTGTACGCGGAGGCTGGCTAGCGGCCCTCTCTCTCAGGCTGATTGATGGAGACTGGTCGTGGTTAAGAGCAAGGAACCTGTTGGTTCGGTCGGCGTCATCTGATTGGTGCTGGTGGTGACCGTTTGGTTCGTCCATCTTGATGACAGAAGGTACACCGAGATTCAGAAGGTCCTGATAATTTTGGAGAGTCGCCAGCTTTCCGAACGTCTTGTGATCTAACCCAGCAGTTCTTCGACTAAGTACGGACTTCTTGGCCGCAATCCAACAGCTCTATATTCGGTCGGCGGTCTATACGCAATGCGTCTGAGCACGCGACCCCTCAAGCACTGAACTGTACACGTACCTAATCTTCTGGCGGATGAATCCTATCTGTGTCCACGTATTCGACCCAACGAGACCCCACCGGTACCCAAAGTGTTCTATAGCAATATTGAGACGGCAGACCGCTGGAAAAATAGGATAAAAAGAGCAAGACGTCTAGATGGTGTACAGACAGCAGAACCGGCTGAAATTGTACAAGAGTCTATGGGGAGAAAGAGAGGAGCACGATAGACTTTCTAACGCGGGCCATCATGGGTGGGAGGCAGTTCTAACCACCTGACCCCTTTTGGGTCAGCCGGTGGTCACATGCACGATCACCCTTTATAAGTTCCAGCTGCCAGTCTTGCACTAAACGCTTCCGACCAACACAAAAATTTACCTGTTCTCAGGTCTCAAACATCCGAAGCAGCTACCATATGTACACATTCAATGGGCGGCAGTATCATAGGCCATACACCTGTTTTTTCGCCTGCTGAACCAAACCTTCTTTACCCCGGATCTTCCTCGTAGCGTCCACTTGTAGCCTTCGAATTCACAAGACCCCGACGTCACGTCAAGCCCATCAGCAATTGGCCGGCGAGCCCCTTTCGGCATCCTTCATCAAATGTGTCGGGTACCTGAGACTGGCGGGCGTAGGCAGTGCAGCAGCGACCAGCAGCGACCTCGGGATTGATCTGACTCACCGCCAGTGGAGCTTGCTATGAACGAGCTGAGCAGAACAGGCGCCGGGAGAATGCAGAAACGCCGCAAGGCACCGTCCTTCTCGGATGCGCCCGATAACCTCGCCATAGGCGCGCTCGCCGGCTTCTCGTCATAAACACTCTCCAATCTTCAATTGAACGCCCGTGCTTCGTCTCACACGTCAAAGACCACTTCCATCGCCTTGAACGCGGTGTTCCCAGGCCAGACCTTTATCGGGACCTCGCATTCCACCGTCTCTACCTTAAGCTCCTGCCATTTGTCCTCCACGACGGCGCCCGTATCCTGTGTTTCTTCCACGGCGACCTCGTCGTCTACCACCTCGTCTCCGTCGTGATACCCAGTCTCGCCTGCCGTCCCAACGAAGGAGGCAAAGTAGCTTGCCCATGACATCATTGTTCCGCCCGGGGTCACGGTCGTCTGATTCTGGTTCCGTGATGGACCCAGTTTCTCCATCGGGGCGATGCTAGGACTCGCCCTCCAGGCTGTAGCCCATTCTCCTCTGGGCCCGTCGCGGACCAGGTGCTTCAGCTTTCCCTCTTGACCCGTCTTCGAAGGGGACGAAGCAACAGCGACGAGGAGACAAAGCCGCACCTTCCACTCTAGACCGCCGGCACTTGCTCTGTTGCCAGCGGCCGCGCCTTCCTCCAGGTCCACCTGGAACGCGGGACTAGCATCAGGTGGGATGTCCAGCGCGAAGGTCGTACGTAACATCGAAGGAATGAATGATGAATGATGTTCAGCGTGCACACGACGTAACTGTCGTGAATTGCCACTCATTGCAATAGAGGCAGGCAGTGACTCGTGAGCTTCGAGCATAGCGGAAAGCTGTACGAGTATTGCCATACTTCAGTTACTCTGGCGCTATATTCAAAAGATAGTAGGCGGCTAACCTTGAGCACTCGGCCACGAGTACTGGGACTATTGAGTTCCACTACGCCCAGGACCGTCTCTCCAAGCCTATAGGCGGACTTGGTGAAGGTTAGGACGGCAACCTGCACACCGTCCTTGTTCACATCATAAGACACTGTAAGATGGTCAGACGACATGAACTTCAGGTGTTTGTCTGACAGTCAAACCTTTCTTCTGATTCCTCGTAAGGATTTCCACAGCCTCTCGGCAGCCTCTTAACGATCCCTCCGGCTCCCGCTCCCGTTCAGGACTCTCCGCGAACGGTGAAAGGGCACCTACAGGTAGAGTACCATCCACTTCGAGTTCGGGAGATCGTGGGTCCGGGAAGGAGGAGAGAAGGCGTAGAGCATACTCGCGTACACCTTCGAGCGACCCGGCCACGCGCGACTTCGAGGAAGCTGAATCCGTATGATGACTAGATTTCGCGCCGTGATTATAGATTGAACTTACACCCACTGGATGTGCCCTTCTCAATCCTACGATCCTCTTCGCTTACCTTGGCTTGCGCCAGAGACATGTGTCGATTTCGCGTAGTGACTGGCCACATCAGATCGTACGGACACGGAGGTCTCTGGACTAGAAAAATAGTGAATAACACTCACTGGTGGACGAGGGAGGCTGAACCTACCTGACACGAAATTGTAGATTCTCACAGGTACTTTCATGACCCTGCTGCTACTTTGCGCACCCGTGCCAGGTCTACCTACAGGACTCGAGGGTTGTTGGCTTGCCGCCCTAGATCGACATACCCCAACAGTGAATTCGTATGAGAATCTGAAAACCCGGCCTTTGTAGGTGGGCGGTATCGCATCAGGGAGCTGCACAGTGTAAGTATCTGTGTACAACGGCAAGAACAAGAAGAATGTCACCGATGTCAGCTAAAAGTGGCAATGATTCCAGCGTTAAAGGGCCTACACCACTTACATGTCCGAGTCTCCCCGGGACCTAGCATGAGATCCACCGCTAACATTGAAGGCGGTACCTCCAGCACAGGCAGCGGAGTCTCTGGGTCAACTTCCTCATTGACGGCACCAAAACCCAGGCCAACGCCTCCGCTGCTACTCGTGCCAGGCAGAGACAGCGTACTAGACATAGAGGGGGTTTGACCGCGTCGGCGAGACCATGGGTGACTTTGCTCCGCTCCGCTGGGATTGGGAGAAGAGAGAAGCGACGTCGGGGAGAGCATAGACAGCAAGCCTGATGTGTACGAAGCGGATCGGACATGCGACCGTTTGCGAGCATGCTGTTTGGCTTGCTGCGGGTCGATCGAAGACGTTATGTCCATTGATCCACCACCCATGGCGCCCTGGCGCAGCAACGTCGATCTCAGAGCGGATAGCGTGCGCGCAGTATCGGGAGTGCTCGGGCTTAGTCCTGGGACGGGCGTGATTGTAAGCGACCCGGAGAGCTGCGCATACGAATATAATACGAGTTCGTTATTTGATTGCGGAAAGCTCGAGGAGAACGCTGTGCGAGGAACAGCCAGATGTGATTGCGACGGAACCCCATTTCCGAGGCCATGCTGAGACGTTTTCGGTGCCTGCGATGCGTGGTCGTACGACCGGGCGTCTGGGTGAGGTAAAGGCGGAGGACGGTGATGCCTGTGGTTACCGTTCACAGATAGCCCTGACTTTCGGATCTGATTCGGTAGAGAAGCAAGACCAGGATTCGGAGATTGTAGAGACGGGGTCTGAGGAGCAGACGTTGAGCTGGATTCTGAGATGGTGTCTAAAGACAGTGAGAGCTTGGACGAAGACGGATCAGGCGACGCCAATGTGGGGGACGAAGGTGGCTGCTGCGGTTCATTCAGATGTAACTGTCCGTTCAGAACTGACTTCTTCCGAGCGTGGGGATGATTTGGAGCGATAGACAACGTAGGCGTCCGTGCGAGTGCACCTGGGGGCTGGTTCGAAGGTGATGCTCATTGACTCATTCAGCACTGGGATAACTGATACATAACACGACCCAACTCACAATAATGCGAACTCTGCGCAGCAAGCGGTGCGCCCCCATTTGAGCGTCCAAACCTCTCCTCCAATTCCTTGGGAGACAGGGAAACTGACAAAGACTTGGCTAAGAGCCGTTTCCGGCTTTGATCCAGGAAGTCCGGTCCAGCGTCAGTTCCGTTGGCAGGCGCCTTTCCTATTAATCTTCTTCTCTTCGGTGTACTGTCCTTGGTGTCGTGTTTCAAGGCTGGGATGGGGGTGACCGCTGTCCGCGGAGTTCCAGGTGAAGTGGGAGGTCGGGCAAGAGGTGCCGAGCTGATGCTATGGGATGCTCGTTTGTGGGTATGTGACTGGGATCCGGAGGAAGGCCATGGTGCATGTACAGGACGGGTATTCGTGATTGTTATAGATACAGAGAATGTTTCGCCAGCGAAATATGCGGATTGCGTAGGCGTTACAACGACGCGAATACCAGTATCGGCGTCAGCCAGAGAGGGGTTTCCCGGAGCACTGGGTGCCGACATTTATCCCCTATGCACAGTTGATAGACACCCACAAGTCGTTCAATAGCTACAGGCCCTTCAATAAAGCAGATCTACGGCAGTGGTTTGAAGAGTAAACGCAGAGCAGGTGAGAACGTTCCCAGCAGAAGGATTCGACGCTTGTGTATATCTTTAGGTGGCCCTGTGAACTTGCATACTTTCGACCCTTACGACGTGTTCGTCCCACAAAGATACAGCAACAGAGACAGCGACAAGACCCTTTGCAGACGGTATTGTGGGCACTGGTACAGAACGAGAGGAAGTCCCGACGTCGTCGCCGACAATGACGAAGTGCTTCGAGTGTCACTGTCAGCGACGTAGATGGGTGAAGCGCCACGTGCCTATGTGCCTGGGAACGCGTCCATCCAGACGCGTCGGTGGCGCCGGCGTTGGGTCCATCCCTCACAGTTAAGCAAAGCGTCAGTCGTTAATCTACTATTATAAGGTGATATTCTCGCCAATATAAGGCAGGTGTATGTACTTACACGTTCCCAGATATACATACTATGAATCATCCAGGTGCTAAATGCGTCATTAGATTCGAGTTTTCTCCATGCTGAGGACCGACGCGTCGACCCAGAACTCCCGAATTACTTGAACGATCTGCCTGTGGATGTGGAAGAAAAACTTCAATCACTCATACGCGTTGCATTTATTCTAGGCGTGGAAGACCTTTCCAGCTCCAGGTAGGTGGGCAAGGATGACCGCCTCGAACTGAGTTTTATGTTTACTATGATGGGCATTATTGTCAAGTTATACTTCTGCGATATGCCATATGTCTGCTGAGGACCTTCGCATCAAGACGTCATTGAACAGAATGAAGTACGTAGAAGAGGAGATGCTGTATCACCTGGCTTGTACTAAACATGAAGAATATCTTGCCACAAAGTTGATGTCCGCGGTCTTTTCGGAATTCGCACTATGCTGACTATGGTACAGGTGGATAAATACTTTCGAAGATACATTTGAGGCCGGCAATGATACCTCGATCCTTGAACGACAGAAAGCGGCTCTCAAATCCAAGGCCAGAGATTATCAAAAGGAGCTTGAGAAAGTGAAGGTACCGTTGCATGAATCTGTTCCACTCACCTTCTCCGCTCAGTCACACCCGACAGGCACAAATGCCGAGCACTCCGGCTGTAACTGTTTCCGAAGTCATGGATCAGCGAGAGCGGATACGGAGCAAGGAGCAAGAGCTCAAAGCAAAGCGAGCCAAAATACAAGCCTTCAAAGGCCTCCCGCCGGTGCGACTGTGTGATATCGTTTTACAGCTCGGACTTACTACTAACAGAGGGCCTCCGATCTAGAATCTGGAGTTGGCACGACATGAACTGAGAAATGCGCGACAGGAGCAGATGCAGTTGATTCAGCTCCGTGAGAGATTGCTGGGTGCAATGGCAGCCGGCGTGTCTTAAGTTTGTACTAGCAGCTCATCCGTCTGCTACAATCCGTGTCGTACTTAAGTGTAAGGCGTGCACGAAAAGTACTTTGCTAGGTACCGCTATGTAGGAGACGACAGGTTAGAACCATCGTCACTACCGATGGCAGACACGGATGAAGCTGGCGAAGGTGTCATTGGATCTTAATCGAACACATTCCAGCGCTCGCCTGTATTCCGGATGTCTCGCAAGTTCTCACGTCGATGTCGGGCGACAGGAGGTAGTGTATTATGGTACCAACCGGAGGTCATCGAAGTTTCGCCAGAAGTGAATGAAATTGTTGATGAGCAAAAACCAACAACATACTCGATTGCAAAGGATACAGCATATAGCGATGAGCGACAGCGACAAGGACAACATATACTTACAGCAAAGCTAAGATGAGCGATCATATAAAATCCCAAAGGCGAGAGACCTATAGAGCACGATGGAAGGTTGTGGGAGATGTAGACCGTACGCCTTTTATTACCCGCGGCGCCGCTTACCCTCGGACGAGGTTGGGCCTCTCCTTTGGCTCCCCGAGAATGTCGGGGATGGCTCCTCCCTCCGATTCCCAGAGGTCGTCCAGGAAGCCGACGACGACGGACGGGCAGAATGGAAGGTGAATGCGTCGCTGCGCCAGCCCGCATTCTGCGATTCCGGAAAGATGCCAGACTCGGTGTATCCGTCGTCATCTTCTTGAGCTTCCTTATGCGTCCTCTTGCGCCCTCGCGATCCAGTGCTGGAGACTTGTATTCCCGAGTGTGAAGGACCAGCCACAGGGAAATCGAAGCTGTCAGACTGGTCGTCCTCTGCCTCGCTTGATAGACCTTCCTGCGGCACATCGTCATCATCTCCGCTGGCCTGGTCTCCCTCAAACATTTCGCCTGACTCTTCCCCAAACGCTCCCTCAGCCTCTCCCTCAGCCTCTCCGTCGGAATTGCGTTTTTCATACGGATTCGCGAGGTATGAGCCAGTGCGGTACTGGCGCACAGCGCTGGTCAGCTCTTCAGCATCGCCTGCGGGGAGCGCAGCGGTTGTCTCTTCACCTTCGCCTGGCGTCACGGACGGAGCGTTGGTCGACTCTTCACCTTCGCCCTGCGCCACCGGGGGCAAATTGACCGGGGTCTCCTCTTCCGGCAAGGCCCTGTAGGTCTCTTGAAGGATAGTAGTAACCTTGTCGTGAGTAGCAGGAGTCCCTGACTTGAACAGCAGATCGTGCCATTGTTCCAGGCACGGCTTCAGGTCTTCAAAATAAGGTGATACCCAACTGAGAGTCAGTGACCAGAAATCGTCGTCTTTGACGGACCCGGCCTTGGCTTTCCCCACTTGTTCGAAGCTGCCTTCGGTCCAGTCGTACAAAGGGGTATCCTTGAATGGAACCTCTCTCTCTGAGTTGTTTGGACCATCATATAGAATGCAGACCCATATGAGCACATAAAAGAACGATTCCAGATCCCATTCAGGTTTATGTGATACCTTGCCACCTGAGGACAGAAGTTTCAGAGCCATGAAAGGCGTCGTTCCCTGTTCTCAGGTGAGCTGAGACGAATGACTTGTTGGCCTAATGATCACTCACGGTGCGCTCGGCTTTGGCACTCTTCCGCTCCTTCCCCTCCTCTACCTCGCCCTCGGAATACCAGATTGCATAATCGAGGTCAATGAGCAGCCCCCTTCGCTCCCCAGATGTGGGCTCCGCGGCAACGAGCATAATGTTGTTGGCGCTTATATCCCGGTGGAGTATCCCCACCTTTTCAATCAGGTCCTTATGTGCTGCACGAATTATATCAGGGCCTACACCGCAAGAGAGCTCGGGAAGACTCACCTTGAATAACGTGTATAAAAGCACCTATCAACTCTCGCAATGTCTTGAAATGGACGATAGGCACGGCGAACGGTTGCAGGACGAGACGCCTGTGCACTCTGTGATCCTGCACTGGGTATTTTCTCTTGCTTTTCTTGGCCTGCTCTGCTGGCCGTATCAGCGCAGTCGTGTCCTCCAGCCCTTTAAATCTGAGAATCTCTTCGTCTATCAGCTTGCAAACCCCCTCGACGCCCGCATCATGCGCAGCCTTCAGAAACTCGGCTTCTGTAGATTGGCGAGTGGTGTCCGTCCAGTAGTCTTTGATAGCGTACGTGGTACCATTGAGAGTCGCACACCAGCACGACGTTCCGCGTCCGACGATCGAATGGCTCTTATAGACCCGCTCTTCAATCACGTACGACTTGCCCTTCACGGTTACTGCGCGGCGACCATCTTCAAGTGTGGTGATGCTGGGGTCGTACCCGAGATATTCCTTGTCTGAAAACATGATCGCCGTAAAGATCCGCAAGAACAGCAGATAGTCTTCGTGTATGTCGAACATTTTTGAGTACATGTGGCCCACGCGGTCGAATATATGGAAGACGCAGTTGTCGCCGAGAATGGACAGAGACGGGATAAATCGCCTGTTGTCCTGGCTTTCATAAATGAGGCGGACACCCTCTGCCGCAATCCACCGAGCCGCCCCTTTATGCTGCGGACCGTTCTTCAACTCCCAATGTGAAATGACAGTCTCCCATGCATGGCGAGCCCCTTTGTCAAAAATCAGAACGTCGGGGCGGCGTCTGTTGCCGGGCCCGCCAGGGAGGGTTTTGCTATTGCTGGCAAAGTCTCCGGTTACGATTCGAGTGCACTCTCTAGTGACGATTTCGCCAATCTTGTTAGCGAGACCGTTCAGCCAATCGGCTACGGCTATCTCTTGATCCCCATATTCATTCGACTGTCTGGTAAGGACAGGGCAATCCTTCCATCTCTCGCGCTCCCGCGAGTATGAACAGTCAGCGCCAGTAGCGAGTTTGTCGAAGATGACATCGATAGGCGCAGGCAGAGCAGCATCGGGGAAGACGTGTTCAATAAGGGTAGACATGTCCTTGGAGATGTGTCCGTTTAGCTCGTCCGCGAGTTTCCCTTTAATCGTCGGCAAGTTGTTCTTCAGGATCCGGCGTGGATTGGAGCTGATCTTGCGCGTCACGGGAGTATTCTCAGGAACACGACGCGAAGGGTTAGAGCCAGCAACTGTGTGTGGTCTAGGAGTTGTGAATCTCTTGCTGCTGTTGTTGCCTGACATGATATGGAGGCGTGAATGAGGGAGGCAAGAGAGGTGGGAATTGGGTACGCACCACACAGGAAATTTTATGGACGAACTGGATGTGGCTTAGAAGCTGTGTCAAGAAATCAACATCAATCGAACATCAGATAAAACACGGACAAACCTGCCCATGCGTTGCCGCGAGCTTTGGAGTGACCAAAGAGAGAACAAGGATCGCACAGCAACCCTACACGTGTGCTCAGCTACGACCTTCTTTTCACCGCAAAGTGACTCACAAGCAGTCACTCTCTATACTTACGGTTCCGTCGCCGCAAGCGGAACGTTCAACTGACTGTACTACTTGGTCGGATGTGGCGCGCTCGAACGGACGCGACGGTGCCCAACACGCGCGCTGGTCACAATGTCACCAGTGTGTGACCAGTTTCCATTCTCACGCGCGCCGTTTGGTTCCGTCGGGGACAATCAACGCGGGCGAATGCGGTATGATATCGAAGGCGTCTTTGATTGGCTCATCGCCCTTCAGGTAGTCCAGAGCTTCACTTTATTATGGCTTTCATGTGCGGACACATGTATTGCAGCCCATTTTTCCCTGTTCAGAGAAGACTTGCATTACTGGCATAACTTGAAGTCCGAGTCACCCAAGTAAAAAAAATTCTAACTTATATGCCGCCGGACCTGTACATGTGCCAGAGCTCATAAGCACCTGTAGAGACAGTATCTCACGCCATTTCAACCACTCATGTCAGTCATGGTAGATGTAACCGGCTTCTAGGCCATTCTCTTTGTGTGAACCAATAGCAACATCGAAGGGGTAGTGAATCAACGCCACAATTGTCCTTCTTGCCCGCGAAGCTTGGTTTATTGGAGCAAGTAAACTTGAAGACTTTTAGGCTGACTTACGAACCCAAACCCAAGTCGCATCGACCGTTTGCAGGAATACTCCTAGTTACCCGACACTCGCGCCAAAACGTTGTACGTCGAAAATGATTTTCTAAGTTCATGTTACTAAACCTCTACTCTTACTACCATCTTATCAAATCAACAACTAACAAAACACCTCCTACAGCTTCAGAATGGTACATATTAAACATACTGCACTTATCTACAACTATACGAAATAAAACGATTACGAAGGGACGCCAAGCACGAGTGCCCGCGGATGAAATAAAAGATAATGATAACGAGAAGGTGAAGTCGAAGTTAATGCACGAAGCCGATTATAAACAGAGCAAACGAACGATTGCGCGAAAGAGCGAAACGTAGAATGAACGACTGAAAGAAAGGACGAGCCGTGATGGCTTCTAGAAATCACTTTCGACTCCCTCACCAACGAAACCCCTTCTACAACTTCTCCCAATCTCTCCAAGCGTAGTCGGACAAGGCAAGTGGAACGTCGACACAACGAGCTCTTCATGCCTCAAGGTAGGATTCGACAGCCGCCAATGGCCAGGCATCTTCGGGCTGGCAGGAGAAACCGGAGAGGGAAAAGAGCGGGCGGGCGACACCTCCAGGACCATCGACATCCCAGCTTGCTCCTCCACAAGAGACACAAAAAGGCTCTGTCCCACCTTCGCGCCCACCCGGACCTCCGCAAAGGCCTCGCAGAATCCCATCAATTCTCTCCACCCAGCAGCAGCGACCAACCGGAGTCTCATTGCTCGTTGTCCAAAGAGTGCAGTCGTTTCCTCGTGGTCGAGAAACCGAGCGTCAGCGATCCGGACGACCTTCTCCGTAGCCGGCCGACGCTTCACCGGCGACCCAGGAAGACTTCCCGTGCACGAAGACCTCGCGCTATGATATGCGCTGCAGCTCGAATCCTCCGATCGTCTAGGCTGCTCGTCCTTCTCACTTGCCATCCTTCCTCCGAACTTCTCCACAATAGCCCGAGCCTGCTGTCCGCTCAACTGCCGAGTGGTAGGACTGACGGAAGCCAAGGGACTCTTGTCATCTCCCCCGCGACCATGACTCGACCAGCCCCTGGTATCGCCATCAGTAACAACGACGATCCTCTGGCTCCCTCTCCGGACCATAGCAGGCGCAACCACCAATGCATCAGCAGCAGTCCCGCCACATCCAGGATTCGACCCATCGGTGTAGCTCGTAGCAATCGACCCATGCGTGAAACCCGTACCATTCGACCCGTGCGTAAAGCTCGTAGCAGTCGACGCCTCCGAAATCAAGCTTCCCTTCTTGGGAAACATGATCAAATGCCGACACCCAATATCCTGCTGACCCGGCGTCGTCGGATCCGGGGACGACTTCCTCGGGAAAAACTAACACTCCTAATCAGCTCATAATGTCCATCCCGTCGCGGCAGAATGACACTACTCACCTCGACGCCCTGTTCAACCTCGTGCCACCCACCTCCAATCACCCCCTCCTTCCCCCCATCTTCCTCATCCACCAAAACCCTAACCACCCTCCTGGGCGGCAACGGCCACTCACACTCCACATCAACAGCCGAGTCCCTCTCGCTCCCCTGACTGAGGCTCACCTCACCCTCCCCCGTCTGCGCGCCGTTAGCCCAGGGATTCGTGAACACAATCCTCGACTGCCCCTCCTCAACCACGACATCTTCTTCCTCCCTCTCACAGTCTCCGAAGGTGCCAGCAGAAGCCGCAGGCCCCAGAGGCAGCGGGAACGGGCTACCACTCCTCGTCCTAGTCCGATCACGCACCTCCTCCAAAGTAGGCACATGTCTGACCTTCCGCACGGGCGCCTCCACCTTCCCCTCCGCACCATCCATATCAATGAACGACTGCCTCCTACCACTGATGGCGTCAGTCATAGGCGGAGTCGGCAACAGCGCACGCTGGTCAACACTCGGAGGAGGGGGCAGAGGGCCCAGCGCCACGGGCGGCGGGTACACAAACGCCCGCTCGCGCCCTTCAGCACCGAACGCGGACAACGGCGGGAGCGTACTAGAACTAGGCGGCGTCGGCAGCCCTGGCAGATGCGGAACCTCAGGCAGCGGACACGTCGGCGGAGGGTGCATCGGCGGCGTCGCAGCACCCCACAGCGGCGACAGCGTCGCAGGCGAAACAGGGGACACCGTCTGCCGGTGCGCAACACTCGCGTATGGGTGCGGCTGCTGGCCCATCACGGCGCTCATGTCCAGCCCGAGGCCCCTCATCCTGGGCGGCACCACCCACTTCCCATCTTCCTCGCTCCCGCTCCCACTAAGCGTCGAGTACCCGCTGCCCTTCTTGCCTCGAACCTCGACGATATTCCCCTTTTTGAAAGGGTCGTCCTCGGGCGTCAAAACCCTCCCGACGTTCAAAGCCTCCTCCTTCGTCTTCTCTTCTCCTTTCGCGCTTTCCTCACTAGTGGGCATGACGCTTTCCTTCGACTTGGATCGGGCCCGTGTGCCGACGCCGAGACCCGCCAGGCCAGCAGACAGTACGTCGCTGATCTGACTGGTGACACTAGCACTCCTCGTCCGACTCCTCTTCTTTTTCTCAAGCTCCATGACTTTCGTCAGGCCAGGCGAGGGCAACGGAGGAACTGGTGGCACTGATGCGGTACCAGCCACAGTAAGGTGGAAGAACGGCAAGCCAGACTCCTGCCTCCTGATATCAACGACGGGAGTCGACGGACCGCTGCTCCCCGTGCTCGACGATGCGTTCGCATTCCGGACATTCATCGCCTTGGTGGACTTGTTGCTCTTGGTCCTGGCCCTAGGGATCTGGATGTGCAGAGCCCCAGGAAGCGCAGCAGTGAGCTTGGACCTCGATCTCGACTTTGACTTGTACGACGCGACTGCGAGAGGATGAAGATAAGACGCCTGACTGTTAACACGAGAACGGGTCGGAACTGGCGGTAGCGCCTTCATGGCCTGGAAGGACTCGAGACATCAATCAACGTTGACCTAGCGATCCTGAAGTATATGAGAACTCACCTCTTTCTCCTTGGCGCGAGCGTACGCATAGTCTTCCGGCGCACTCGGCCTTCGCCCATACGGATCCACATACGAGCTAGGAGCAGGCTTCGGAGCAGGCCTGGGAGCTGTATACGTGCTCACGCCCGAACTATCCGAGTTCAGCCTCAAAAGTGGAGCCGCATAGTCCGCAGGGTCGAGCGGCTTACTCGGCCTCGGGAAATTAGTCGACTTGGACGTGAACAGCCCACGCAGACCGTTAGGATGCGTAGTCCGCCTAGGACTGGACCTGTTCGGCGAGCTCGCAGCCGAGTGCGAGATCGTAGGTATGGTGCCGGTGACGCTCCTGTGGTAGGAATGGGTGTCCGGGAAAGAATAGTATCCGCTCTCCGGTGAGACTTTCCGTCCGGGAGTCGTATTCAAGCTATTAGCAGCGGTGTGGGTAGCTGTAGATGAGGATGAGGGGATAGGCGTAGCAGGCCTTCCTGTTAGAGGTCTGCGGAATATCGAAGAAGAAAACGAAGGTCGGGGGTGGGATGTTTGGTCTTCGGCGTCGTCGTTTATGTCAAGGAACGACTTGGGACCGTTGGAAATCGTGCGTTCCCTCGGTCGGTGGAAAGAGGATGGTGGTGGACGAGTCGGTGACCTGGGGCTTGACGGAGGCGGAGACGGTTGCGAGTATACAGACGGCGGACTCTCGCTATTAGCAAGAGCCACGCTGGGCTGCGCCTGCGTTAAGACTCAGTTAGTGTTGTACTTGTATAATCTGGCAACTGACTCACCTGTTGGCTGTGGGAGGACGAGATTTTCGACAGCATAAGCGCGGAAGCCCTTGTCTTGAGGTTCTTGAAAAAATTGCCCTTGCTACTTGGAGCGAGGCTGCTGCCGCCATGCAGACACTCGGACGTGGCATACGGCGCCGCAGACACACTCTGCGCCGTAACAGTATCTTGCGTGACCGTCCTGTCGCGCTGCTGCATCCTCTCGCGTTGGCGAAACTTGGTCCCGAGCACGTCCTCACTCGAGTTAGCCGCGCAGGTAAAGTCGCCCATGTCCACGTCATCGGGCTCAGCATCTACATCTTCAAGTGAGTAAAATTCAGAAGAGACAGTCGGCGACGATGGCGAGTCGCAATTATCGATGTTTATATTTTCCTCGGAGAGCGGCAGGTTTGCAAGAAACGAGAGGTGTGGCTCGGGGATGGTGCCGAGGTCGAGGGCGGAGCTGCAGAGGTCGCTGAACTCTTCGATAGTGAAGGTGGACGAGCGACGCGGGCCCTGCTTGAACGCGTCCATCGTCGGGGAAGACGGTGTGGACGGCACGCTCGACGACGAGCAGGACGACGAGGGGGACAAAAGAATTGGAAGGAGAAAACGAACGGATCGGCGGCGGGGGGACTTGAACACTCCCATGGCTGGTGCTCAGCGAGACTTTGATTGGCTGGCCTGGGGAAATCGAGGACCGTGAAGAGGGCACGGGAGAAAGGGCCATCGATCGTGGGGCATTTGAGGAGGGATCGTCGGCCAGTTCTTCCATAACGTTGCGACGCCACCGTGCTCGAACAGGCACTGGCCTTGCCTTTTCGGGTGCGAAGCGAGCAGCAGTATGCCCATATTTGGCAGGAGAGGGCGCTTCGGAAGCATAGTGCTGGGGGATCTTGAGGCTAATCTCGAAGGCGTGTCGTATTCCTGGGTTTAATGCACATTCACTGCGATGCTCGCCGGTGCTTCGACGCAAGGTCGGCCGGGGTCCTTTGACCATCGTTGATCCGTTGTGTGGAAGCCCCGGCGGTGTCCTTGGGCTTTTTCGATTCCTGTTCGGGCCCAATCTCTGCCTGTCATCTGCGCCTGTCGTAATTAACTTGTGGATGATATGCTGGTGGCGTGGACGTACCTGCCTCTGCACTTGCGCGCAGCGTGTCCCTGGTACATGTTCCATAGGCCAGATGCCCCAGGCACATCACAGCCATACCTTCTGGGAAGGAGCTTACACTCAGCCCGGTAGATGGTGGTGGATGAATGCTATGAAACTTGGAAGCGTCGTATCAGAAATGGAGTTCTTCAGCTTCAGAAGAGTCTTGTAGGGAGAACGTACACCAGCAAACAGGACATCAACCAAGAAGACCCAAAAGGCATTCAATTAGAGTACACAATCGTATCTTGCTGCCAGTGCTGTCAACGTCAATCAAATATACCACGTCCGAATCTAACTCCAAATATGAGATTCGGAAAGCGATATCAGCGCGGTCGCCAACTCACCGGTCCTCGCACACACCGGGTTCGTTTCGCTGGGCCCAGCAAGCCAAGTGCGATTCGGAATCTTCGCAGTGGCAGCGACTTCTCGTCTTCGAATCGGGTTCGGGCGATATATACCCTCCTGGCCCGAGACAGGGGACAGCAGACGTATGGCTCATCGCTCTGAAGGAAGCTTGTTCGGCACAGCGTAGTGCCTCTGCTGTCCGATGACTCCATTGCACACTCGCACCTTCCTCAGTCGTGGAAAGAGCCTGAGTTTGTCAGACCACCAAACGCAAACGAATATGCCCCGCTCTGCGTCATCGCAACGAGACATCCAACGTCATCCTTTCCTCACCCTTTGTGAGTAGTAAATGTCTTCAAAATGGCACTAACCCATAGCGGGAAACGGAAACGGCGACTGTGAAGAACGCACTTACGACAACTGAATTCATGCCGCGTCGAGCGCACGCCACCAACCCTCCGACATCGGATACTACGATTGCGCTACGGCTCTTTCCATGCCACCTCGAATGTAACGTTCTGAAGCGCTCCGTCTACCCGCCATATCCTCAGTGAATAAGGACATAGCAAGCAAAAGGAGTGTTCCGATTGTGACCGTTCCTCCATTTATCCAGTGCCAACACATTCGGCGAGAAGACTAGATTGCGAGGTAGGACCTCGCCGTGCATGTATAGCGCATACATGAGAAGGAACGGGAGTCCTGACTTGGCTGAATCAGCCATTGGACTCACCGGAAACTCCGAATAGCGGCACTTCCGAGCAAACGACCGCTAGGCACTGGGTGGCGCGTGCATAACCTCCCGATCGCGTTGCCGTACAGCTAGTGTTGCATATTACATTTACAAGTACAGTACGTACCTTGTGGGATATCACAAGCCGGCATCACTCTCTGCCTCGGAGGCACAGTCTCGAGCCCATCGCTCGATACGCAGGCTGTTGTTGTCCAGCTTCACTACGCGGTCGGTTGGCCTGAGGGCTTTATGCGGGCTACTGCCATACATTCGCATCTCGCCACTCCTCGGCAAAGCCAGGAGAGCCAAAAGCGTGCAGAACGGAAGCACCATATACATAGTTAAGGATCTCCGGGTGCGGCAGTCGCCCTTCACTCACTTTATCGAACCTTGCGTCCCGAGTCTGCGATGTTGACAGGCGCAGGGATTCTGCAAAGAATGTGTCGTCTCTGTCATCAGTAATGCTGAGAGTCTGAAGAGTGTAACGAAACTCGTGCCCGGCGTCATCGGGCGCCTTAACGCTCGGAGCAACGTCAGTGCATTGCAGAACGGAATTAGGAGCAGCTGGGTCGAATATCACAGAGCGGAAAAACTTCATGGACGTACATAGAGCACCGCAAGCTCCCTCTTCCGCAGCGGTCGGTGTATGTTGTGCTCGCACACTGGCATGAAGCCATTGAATGGATCGTTGATATCGTCGATGGCGGGTGTGATGTTCCTCGCGGACGACCTCTCGGAGCCCACTTTCTCATACGATCAGCCTTGTACTTTGCTACGAGTGCAGTAATCTCACCTCGGAACCGCGCGCAAAAGGGATGATGTGGTGGCATTCCCCGAAACCTCCTATAAAGACGCAGTCCCTATCCCGCGCCTCTATTTCGACTCGGAACGATGCCACTCGGCTATCGCGTGAACCCGTCTGAGATTCGGTGCGGCGATCAAGTACAGCTATCTTGCGTCTCAAAGCTCCGTATTCATGGTATCAAAGTAGACCTGTGTTTAATTGTGGGGGAGGAAGCTGCAGCTGATTCTACTGGCTGCAGCACTCCTGGGCGTAGACGACGGGAAGGATGTCGGCTCACCCGTTGTCTACTATACAGGTATCTACTTACTAACTATTGCATAATGGAAAGGTGCTGTAGTAGTGGGACGGGAGGGCGGGTATAGAAACGAGGATGATTCGGATGGGGATCGATTATTCAGGACTGGTGAATCAAAAGAGTTGATGATACTGAAAGTCTAAACGCTGTCCGAGACAAAGGCACTGGCGTGTGACTTGTCACTCCGCAGACGCAACATCTCACACCTCTCGTTCTCGGGTTCTCTTCTAGGTCCAACCACATCCACAGTAGCGCTCGGCGAGAAATCTACACCGATTCAACATCTGGTCAGCCGGTTTTATTTAAATACTAGGCTTACTGGGTCCTTCAAGAATGATGTCATCATCGTCTTCCAGGACGTCTTCGTCCTGAAGAGGGAGGGAATCGCGTGACGGTTAGCCCTGTACGCCATACACGGCCCAAGCGACGCTCAATCACTTTACTGGCCACTTGCAGAGAGAGTGCATAGTGTCCAGCGGGATGACAAGCTTGAAGAGTGACGATGTGTCGGAAGGCTTGGGTGCGAATAAGTATTTTAACCATTGTTGTAGATAATAATCAGACTAGCCCGAGCCCCAGTCTGGCATAAAAAATCATATGACAATACAACTGCACATAGACGACATACCGTAGCTGTGGCAGCCCTGTTCTGAGATTTCCCCTATAATCATACGCCTCGGGCCGCCGGGGCCGGCCCGGGGGACATCGCACTCGCTGAGCACATCCAGCTCGATCATAAAGTTGCAAACTCTAGAGAACACATATAAACCAATAGTCCCTTCCGAGACGATATCGCCTGTAGAGACTCACGCTTCTCCCAAGAGTAGAGATTGTGCCTTCTATTTTATAGTGGTACTGCCAAAGTCCCGCTCTATCGTACAGCCCGAATCCTGCACTCCGTTCCTCAAGCAAAAATCTTGCTGAAGTAACGCTCTAATCCCTCTTCTCCGAAGACTATACCACCCACCACACCATCCGGCCTCACCACGACGATAGTCAAGCCGTCATCATCCGAATTGACGCCGTAATGCTTATACGCATACCCGTCCCAATCCAGGAAAGCCGCGTCCACCTCCTCGAACGTGACATGCGGTCCGAATCCCCAATTGCCTGGCGCGACCGCAACGGAATGTATGCTCTTCGCCGGGTATTTCTTCAGGAACCTGCCCACACCCGCCGCCTTCGCCGGGTCCCGCGCGAAGATGAGCGCAGTGTGGAACGTGGGCTTGAACACCTGGAAGAGGCTCGTGGGGTACGCCGCCGCGGACCGCGGAACGAGCCCCGGCGCGTCCGGGGCGCGGTCGCCCGCGCGCAGCGCCTCGACCTGCCCCGGTGCCGCCCCGCCGTAGGCGTGCCCGGAGGCCTCCTCCTTCTCCTTCTGCCGCTCGTCGAGCACGGCGGAGCTCCAGCGGTAGTTCACGCCGAGCTGCAGCAGCGCGCCGCCGCGCTGCCACGTCGCGTCCGAGTGCGCGCCGGTCATGGTGCGGTTGAGCAGGTTGGTGGTTACCTCGAGCATCTCGGCGATGACGGGCAGGCGCTCTTCGGTGTATGTCGAGAGGAGGGAAAGCGGGGAGAGGCCCTTGCTGACGAGCGCGAGCTTCCAGCCCAAGTTGAACTATGGGGGTCGTGACATGAGCTGCGATGAAGAATTTGGACCATGTGAAGGGTAAATACGTACGGAGTCCTGGATACTAGAGTTCGCGCCTTGGCCACCGGTCGGGCTGTGGACGTGTGCCGCATCTGTCGCAGGTCAGAGTGAGCCCTGTCAACGCATGGACGGGTGCAGGCATCCTCCTACCTCCTGTCAGGAACACCCGTCCTTCGCCAAACCTGTCGACCATGCGGATGTTCGGTCTATTCTTGACAAGTCGTCATGAGTACATTTTCCATTCTTCACCTTGAGTCTAATTTTACGCACCGCCAATCAGACACCCAAACAAACTCTCCGATTTTCAAATCCTTCCGATCTGTGACGTTGTGGACGAAGTCGACGACTGCCTGGCGATCTTTGGCTGCCTCGACGGGATCGAAGCCGGCTGCCCAGCCCATTAGGGTGTATACATTGTCGCGCCTCTCTGTCGGACGCAGCAGGAGTCTATACCGCGCCGAAATACTGCATCAACAGCGGCAGAAGCGAGGTGTGCAAGGGAAACGCACTGTGCTTCGTTATCTTTTCTCCACATATGCCAATGCTGCACTTGGCATTAAAGCATCGAACCAAAGTCTAGAAGAGAGACACGTACATCATTATCGAGACCTTCAATATGGACGTCAGCGATGATCATGTGCTGCCCATCCCTAGTCTCGCCCTGGAATTTCAGGCCGAGTTGCTTCCGCACAATACCTAACACGGCATCAATTCTGTATGGACGGCGAGAGATGACACCGGATCATCACACCTTTAGCACCATCTGCTCCGATTAAGAACTTGGTCTCGATGGTCTCGTGCACATCCTGGCCGTTCTCCTTCTTAACAAGACGCGCGACGACTCTATCCGCGTCTTGCTCCAGTGAGACCAGTTCGGTCCCAAACTCAACATGGTACCCGCGCCGCTCGAGATGCTTCCTCAGCGTCGCCTCGAGGTGGTCTTGACCAAGCAAAAGTCCATTCAACTTGTCAGTTTGTCAGTCGCTTGTAGCGGTTTTATCTGGGATGAGCAACGTACGTAAGGGACTCCAGGCTTTGGTTCGGTAGGATCCACCATGTACCACTCCCTGAGGACCTCCGTCCCGCCTGGGAGTTTGTACAGACGCATGGGAGGGTAGAGCGTACCCTCCCACAGGAGGTCTGGCAGCACGTCGAGAAATCTGTAGACCTCGAGTGACCTGGGCTGCGTAGCACCCGGATCTTTAGCCTACCTCCTCGATCCCCCGAATTAGAGAAGGGTATAGCATACCTGAATGCCGGCGCCTTTCTGGCCTAGGCGCGGGGAGGGGAGTTTCTCGATGATGCGCACCGGGATATCATTGTGCGCGAGTGTTAGAGCCGCGACAAGCCCAGCGGGGCCTGCGCCGACCTGAACGAAGCATCAAGATCATAGTATCAGATGAAATACTCCATTTCTCGTTCTGAAATACATACGATCAGTACTTCGGGTGGTGCGGGAGACATTGTTGATTTAGCTGGAGAGTTCTGCGAGGTCGCCCCTGCTACTACAGCTCATATTTATATCCGTAAATGAAATCGGGCGCAACCGCAGCAGTAGTACCCAGAGCCAGGTCCCGAGGAATGACCTTGGTTTCGACCATGGCCGTGATTGACCATAGTGCATGGCCAGGGGCGGACTGACTCACTGAGCAGTGAGCAGTGCACAGCATGGTCGATCCCGAGTTGATCCGGGCCAACGCGTACATACCGGCGGTCCTAAACAGGAGCAATGATCCGCTAATGGGCGACTGTTGCCCGATCTCGTCGGCTTGCGGTCATCATCATTTGTACAAAGTCGCAGCCCTGCGGCTCAAAATCAAAGTTTGGTACGCCATTGTTGGGCCCGTTGACGCCAGTTAGTTTAGTTGTTTCGTCAACTAAGCAACTAGTTCTACAAAGTTTAGGAAACGTTGACTTTTCGTCAACCTGCTCACGGAGATCAACTTTCCCACTCACTGCCATACACGGTGGAAAACCTTAGCTAAGCGCACGAGTTCAAGACCATAGAGAGCAACCCATCGTCGTGCAATCAGAACGGACGGGCAACTCAACATCTCGACGGGAACTGAGGCCTGAGGACTTCTGGCGGACAAGCCTCGCGCCACAGTTCCGGCAAGTTATCGAAAATAAACGGAACTAGTTGACGAGTTGACGGTTCTCCGAACTTTCGTCAACTAGTTCGGAACTGGCACAACACTGTCCAGGTACGGTAGATGAAGGTAAACAGCGTTAAACGGCGCACGCTGACTACTAATAATAATAGTGCTCGGAGAGAAAGTCGGTGGTAAGTTACCTCCTGGTAACTTACCGGTAACTTACAGGCCAGGGACTTTCTCCCTGAAGACTAACGCTGACGCTGCCATCGTTGTACTGTATCCATTCCACTCAGGATGCTAGGCAGCTCCCAAGTACTTGTCTGTAGTGGCGGTTTGAATCCGACCTCAGCCCTGCCTATATGTTATTTACGCAATTCTTCTGTGTTCAAATACATGAATTCGTCCGACTTCGAGCCCACTAACTCCCCAGAGCCTCAGCTAATTTCGCCCATCGCCCGCTATTCCAACTGGATATCTGCTTCCACTCATCGGAATGCTCGCCTTGCATACGCTTCATCCCGACCATGTACGCCGCCACTATAAGGTCCGCCCACGACGGTGTATCACCCATCAAATACAGCGTGTCTTTCCCGGCCTTCTGATACCAGCCCTCCACGATATCAAGCCCCGCCTTCGCCTCCTTCAACTGCTGCTCCCGCTTCGGCCCAGGGGGACAGAACTCATCCAGCTTCCCGAACTGCGCTTCCCTCGTCCTCACAAAGTACTCCGCGCTGGGCGGGTTCAGCAGTTTCGCGACCGCGGCCGGGATGATGGGGAACAGCTTCGCAAACGCGTTGTCCGTGATGGCCTTGAAGAACGCTGCGTGCAGGCCCTCCGTGCCTGCAGGGATGAGCGAGCGCGGGGTCGCGTAGTGGGCATCCAGGTACTCCGCGATGGCGTACGAGTCCGAGACGACGGCGTCCGTGTTGGGATCTTGGATGACCGGGAGAGTGTACAGCGGCGTGCCGTCCGGCCACTTGCCAGTGGGCTTCGCCCCTATCTTTTGGCAGTGCGCTGCGACATCGGGGTATTCGATCCAGACGGTCTTGTACGGTAGGCCTTTGAACTCCAGGGCGAATCTCCACGGACTGAGATCAGTTCGGATATGCGCAACGTCAAATAGGCCGCTCACCTGGCTTTTAGCGTGTTAGGCGACCACGGCCCCTTTTCCATCTCCCTCCGGGGGAGATCATACAAGATGATTTCCTCCTGCGGCATGATTTGGTGCTTTGCCCTGCTGCGCGGATGGTAGATTGATCAAGGGACGCTCCTTATATCTGATAACCTAACCCACGTGTACATGACTAGTACTAGGTCTGACTGGCCGCTGTGCTGTTGTTACCGGTTGGGGAAAGCTTACACATCCTCAGGACTTTCCAAGGGGCCAACGTGGGTATTACCGACGACGTCAACCCTATTGTCGTTGTCCCTTTCCAAGTTTACGGGGTCCCGATTTTCACTTTCTTGCACGGTTTGCGTGCACTTTCTATTTGCGACTTCCCAAAGCTGCATTAAACTCTGAATCTTTTTCTGTACCGTTGAGTAGCATCCTAGCACAGGTCTACATACTTTTTGAAGTGGTGGGACATACGCTATATCTTTGATAAATGCATCAAGCAAAATCTGAGGACGCGAGCTGTAGACCACTTGCCTGATTCGGACAAACGACGCAGTGTGTCTGAAAACAGGCGATACGAGACAGTCCTCGTTGAATGGTGCAAGGATTGCTGGTAGTCTTGAATTTGCAGTTGTATATTGTATTATGTGGAGTCTGTACCCTGTCAAAGTATCTGGTGCTTTCTACACATCGGCAAATTTGAGGAAATATGTATCCATCAAGCCCTGCGGTCATGGTCACAACGGACCTTCGGCAAATATGCGCCCACCAACAGCTCTGTCAAGAGAACTACTATTTTATAAGCACTGTTTGTCACCAGTCTTATGCATCAGGAAGTAGAGAGGTGTTCCTGTATGTCTGAGTCAGTGCAGAAATATCATCGACTGAGAAGTGTTTGGGATCTTTCAGCACTGAACAATGTGATCTTAGGGATCAAAGATATATATATAAGTAGTTATAAGCTATTACCTATGTGTACATGGATGACAGAGGCTTGTTGATTCCCGACAATCGACCACACAAAACATAAACCCAGGCAGAAGAGGAGCCGCCACAAATTGCCTTATCAAGGTGGTCCTCTCTCTTATGTGATGCTTTCGGGGTCCTGTTCACTTTAGGGGGTTGCCGTCGCGCGTTTTC